GCCGTCCCCTTTCCTGCCCCGGCAATCTCAGCTGCTGCTGCCAGCTTTTGCACTGGCAGTTGCTGTGTTGACAGTTGCTGCGTTGGCAGTTGCTGTGCTGGCAGTTGCTGTGCTGGCAGCTGCTGTGTTGGCAGCTGCTGTGTTGTCCGCTCCTGCGTTTGCAATTGCTGAGCTGGCAGCTTCTGCATTGGAAGCTTCTGTGCAGCTTCTGGCTGCGCCGACATTTCTGTCGACAGGTCCTGCAGTTGGGAGAAGGACATGGAGGAGCGGTGGAAGCGACGCGGGCCATTGTCAAGCCCGCTGAAGAGCCGATGCTCCGTGGCAGGCAGGAAGTGGGGCGCACTCCCCTTGGATCTAGTAGTGGCCAGACTTCCTGCAGTGTCCGGGACAATGGGAATGCACCCTTCCGAGTAGCTTCCGCAGGAATCACCTCTCATCGTCCGGCGTCTCCCAGAGTTCTTGAAGGGCTCTTGCGATGCTGCTCTGCTTGCTCTCTCAGAGTCCTGCAGCGCGTCGTTCGAGCCCTGGCGCGCCGCATGCGGCGCTGCACCATGTATCATGGCCCCACCAAGATGCAACGCTGCGGAATCATCATTAGGGGTGATGGCGTAATCGAGTGACTCCGTCTCGCGCGTTCCTTCGGTTCGGCTGCGACGCAGCAGCGGAGGCGCTTCGAGGGACGGCTCCGGGACGCTGGGACACGCCGGAACGCTCATTGGCGTCGATGCGCGGCCCGACATTTGATTCAGCGCCTTCGACGACGGAAATGAATTTAGGGATTTGATGCGTTGGGGCCGGGCAGCGGGGAGAAAATTCCCCGCCCACAGGTGATGCTTTGGCGGCTTATTCGCCGTCGCTCCTGCACCGTTGGATGCACCGTTAGATCCCGCGTCTCGTGACGTGCCACTTGCAAATGCGCCCGTTTCCGGGCTCGCTGCGGGATGATCCCAAGGGTTGGCGGAGTGCCGTTTGGGGCGGAAGATGGGCGACACGGGAGCGTGCAACGAGCGAAAGATGGACCCCACACCCCATCCGCCCGCGCCGCCGCCGCTGCTGCTGTTAAGAGACCACAAGGGACTGCTGCCGCCGCATTTTCCGCTGCTACTGCTGCTGCCACCGTGATGAAATGAGAATGACCCGCCGGTCACCGTTGCCGCTTCCGCCGCTGCGCGAATGCCGTGCGGCGACGGGGAGAAGGGGCTGCGCTCCGCCTTTTCGAGCGCCTCAAACGGGGAGCTGGGACTGCGCTCCGCGACTCCCGGCGACTGCAGCGACTTCAGGTTGTCTGACGAGGTGCTGCTATTGGCGCGCACCATCGGTCTTCCCCCTTCGAACCAGGAGGCATGCGCGCCCGTGCTGTTCCGCCGGACATGATGGATTGCGTTGCTGCTGCTCCCCCGACTCAGGCTCCGCGCTCCTGTTCCGCAGCTGCGCGGGTCACGTGCGTCGTTGGCGGGTGCAGGAGAACGCTTACTTCCGCCACCGCTTACTATCGCGGCGCCCGTCGTTCGCTCGACCGCGCGGAAGCTTCCGCCCACGAATGCGCCGAGTGCGCCGCCGTTGGTGCCGTCGCGCGGCCGGAGCGGGGACGGAGGCGGTCGATGCGGGGACGGAGGGGGACACTCGCGCGCGGGCGACGGCATTGCGTCCTGGGGGTTCTGATCTCTGTCGGTTGGCCTGTCCACGGCCCGGGGGATGCCGCGCCGCCCGCTCTGTCCAGCGCCGGCGCTCACGCTAAATTCCGGGGAAGCCGCGTCAGTCGTAAATCTCTTCGCCGCCGACGCTTCGCATGATGATCCGCCGGCGCCGTCCGTCGCGTGCTGGCCGCCGCCCGTTTCCTCCACCAGCCGCGTCGGTCGTACTACCGAACCCGCTTCCACGGCGGAGTCGGCGTGGCGATGTGAGCTGCGCCGCGCGCCGGCTGACGAGTTCGGCCGCGGAAGAATCTCAACAACGGTGGTTGTTAGTAGGGAGGGTGGCCCGGCGGTATTAGCAACAACCGTTTGCGCCTTTTCCGCCAGACTCCAATGCTTCCCCGCCAGTGCCACGGTCCTTTTCGTATGCGCATTGTCATTCCGCAGCCATTCGCGAGTGGAGAAAACGCTCGAGACGGGGCTGCGGCTGCCGCTGTCGCATGCGACGCTGGTAACGCTCTTCGCGAAACTATCGCTCGCGCCGCCGCTTCTCCCGTCAGTGCTCTCATCGCTGCTCTCTGCACCGACGAGTGATGGGAATGAATCGAGCTCTATCGAGTCGCTGCTTGTGACAATGTCGAGGGGCGGGGGGCGTCTGAAGGGCGGGCGGAAGGACGATGTTAGCGACGCCAACGGGGAAGGGGGCCGGGGAACATCGGCGGAGCGCCGTCCGAAACTCCCGGGCAAACGGCCTCCAAGAACGACCATTTCGACGCTATTAGAGATGTTACTTCGCACTCAGTATGTACGGGCTGGGGTAGCGACGAAAAATACTTCGTCTCTGGTAAGTTTATAGTAGATGTCATAAGGCGCCCGTGGGAAAATATCGCTTCTTCAAGGGGTCTGGCTGGACAGGGGTCATGGACCTGGTAGGCATGAGAGCGAGGATGCCCCAAAAATTGCACATCTGGGAGTGATGTTGTTGAAAGACGGCAGCAGAATGTGTTGACGCCGTAAGCGTGGTCGTAGCTTCTAGAAGTTCAACGTGCTAATTTCGGGCTAGAGACAGGTTTGGTTGGGTGGGAGAGTTCAGAAATGAATTTGGAATTCCCTTCGACGTCACGCGAAAGGAATCACCTCTGGCAGACCGAATGCTGCTGACCGAATGCACAAGTTGATTTTGCTGCTGGCAGCTAGTCTTTCCTCGTCTGCTCACACGACCGTATACAAACGTATTTGACCGCATCGGGCCCTACATCATCCCGTCTCACTGCTCTGGCGTCAGGGACTCGCACGCATGGCATGATGGCCATCTTCAGGATGTGGACACTGGGCAAATAAAAACAGGAGGTGGGGGGGTAGCCGGGGGGGAGGAGGCAGATGTTCCACAACATGCCCCAGCTGTTGGGGGGAGGAGGGCTGTTGCGCAGAAGAAACGAGCGGAGCGGATCCCCGCTAACGATCAACAAAGATTCTGCTGAATTCGATTATGGATTGAAGCGACGTGTAGCGAGAAGCGTTAGTTGGCTGCGAACAGATGGTGAGGTGGCACACACGAACAACCCAGAAGGCGTGTACGAGGATTGGTCAATCACTCTGAGGGAAACGGGGTTACGGGGAAAACGGGTTACACAAATATCGTCATGGACGGAGCGACGTTCGCCTCGCTGAAGGATCAGTAATTCTAGAATCTTGGATCCCGTCCAGGGCTCACGGTAGCAGGGTGCACATCCGGAATTTCGTCAACATTCCGGATGTTTTCGGCTGAGACCCGGATTTTGAGGGGGATGCCTCCAAAAACATCCGGACACATTAAGGAGTTTTTTCAGAAGCATCCAGATGCTTAAGGGTGATTCAAAAAAACCTTCGTGCCAGAATCGATTGACCGCGTACCTTTGTGAGGCACACGTGGGATGCGAGACAGTTGGTAGTGAAACCCTACAATTTTACTTTTTTTTTTTCCGTATCAGTTTCAGTTGAGTGGGAGTTTAGGTCTGTTGGAGTATTAGGTTCTTTCAGGAACTCCAGTCACATCTGATCCAATAAGAGTCATTCAGTGAGCCCTTGAATGGATGGAAGTGTCGTCTCGGGTATTTCTTCACGTCTGTGTTCATCACTTGTAGTTTGCAGCAGTTATGACTCGATGGGCCAGTGTGATTTTTAGAAACACACTGACTCAGGGCACTTATCGATGGAAACCAGATTTAAAAGGGTGGCCTTACTATGGAACCGTATTTTTACGTATGTTTTCGTGGGGGCCCCGGAGGCATCCGGATCTCTAAAAACGAAAAAAAAATATCCCTGATCCCATCTCGTTGCGTCGTCGTCGTCGATCGCACGAAGAACAAACCGCTTGTCACGTGCGCAAATCTGCGGTCGCCTCGCTTCCGGTCCGAGGTTCCCGCTGATCCGTCGAACTCACGCAAGAAATCCCATTCGCCACTCGTGGTGTAGCGCGACATGACGTTGTACAGTGTCTTGTGATTGTGTAAATTATGTCTTTGACAAGTTACAAGTACTGCCAAGCTTACCTGACCTGGGAAGTCCACGCTGATTCGCCAAGTCCACGCTGTATTTCCTTTTTCAGCATTCATTTTGCACCAATCATGCCTTTTCAGTGGAAGTTCGTTCACATTTGGGCACTTCTGTAATTTTAAGCCTGCCCAACACCCAATTTGGGAAGGAATTTCAGCATGGGTTATGAGTCATAACTCATCATGCAGTTCAGCACTGTACATGTGCAGTACGCACGATGCCTCCCCGCTAGCATTTTGTTCCCTGACGTTTCATTTCCCTTGCTACAGTTCCATCATTCCCTTCAGGTTCCGGCTCAAATCACTCGCTGTACGCGATTGCACGTTGACGCTGTAGAGGAGGGGCTACACCTAGGACATATATGAAAACACTACTCGATGGGGAAAATGGACTATCTTAGGAAGGGCCTATAAGCCAGAACATCTGTAGGAGCTTTCGTAATACGTCGCCTGCACCTGTGGGATTCTCATGCTGTTTATCTTTGTTATAGTCCAACTCTCCTACACCACTTCCCTTTATCTTTGTTATTGTCCAACTCTCCTACATGTGGTCCACACGTTAACATACAGAGGAATTCTCTATGCGAGCGAAAGCATGGGGAGAGAGGAAATGCAAACCCGCACATTCTTCCACACCGCGTAGCCAAGTATGACCGGCATCTAGTTGAACATGGCAAATTCATCACAACCAAATGAAATCATCCAACTCAACCCATTCAAACAAAACTAGGATGCACGAAGTTCCAACTTTTAGCACTCTCAAACCCCGACGTCCAGGAAACCAGAACGTCCCACGCATGTACAACTGTCATCCATCCGCTGTTGAACAGCGTTACTTATCATCGAGCCACGCCTCCAATCTCAACCTCTGTTCTTCTCCTATCTTGTTACCATGGGGTAGCTCTGAAGATCCACCCGCCTTTTTCCGCAGTGGTTGTTGAGACTGCCACAGCAGGCTGGGAGGGGAGATAAGCCTTAGCAACCGGCTTGATATGCTGGGGGTGGCAGGACAGGCAAGGGAGGAGAGAAGGGAGGATGTAAGGGGGATGTAAGGGGGGAGGACATGGCATGACAGATGGGAGTGGTGAGGAGGATGGTAACTTCAGGAGCAGAACGTTCGAGGCGCCACAAAAGGTGGAAGATGAAGTGGGGAGGAGACTACACTAGTAGAAGCACGAGATATCCCCCCCCACCAAATGTTAGCCCAGACGATCTGCTTGCTTACTTGTGGATAGCATCTGCTTGCTCTCACCTGCTTTGTGCATCCCCCATAGTAGCTGCCCCGAAACTAGTCTCTTCAGCAGTGTCCTTAGCTCCTTCATTGATGAAAGCAAGCAGTGCTGCTGGCCCTGTAACGGCCCTCCTCACAGCTGCTCTCACCTTGTTTGTGCATCCCCTGTAGTAGCTGCCCCGATACTAGCATCTTCAGCAGTGTCCTCAGCCCCATCATTGATGAAAGCAAGCAGTGCTGCTGGCCCCATCAGCGCCCTCCTCACACCTGCCCTGTCAGCCACCGCCACACGTGCTCCTGCCACGTCAGCACCAGAACCCATAGATGCCACGTCAGAACTGGAAGCAACAGCTGCCACATCATCAGTGCGAGAAGCAGCTGCACTAAAAACCACCTCCACCACTCCTCCTCCTGCTCCACCCCTCTCCACCGCATTACCCCCTTTCCCTCTAGCCATCCCATCTTCCTCTGCCCTTGTCCCTCCCTCTCCTGCCACCCCTCCCTCCCCCTCACCTTTCATCAACCCGCCCCCTTCCCCCCCATCCACCACCTCCTCTCTGCTCCCATCCCCACCCCCACTCTCAGACGCTCTCTCATCGCTCTGCTCCCGAGCAGCCTTGTCACTTGCACTGCCCAGCCCCACCAGCCTCCCAGCAGCCTCCGGCCCTACCCCCTCTGTGCGAGGCACCTCATGAGGAGCAGACACCAGAGGTGCAGCCGCCTCGCAGGCTGCCTCAGCCCCCTCTGTGTGAGGCATGTCAAAAGCAGACATCACAGGCAAATCCGCCTCGTTTGCACCCCCCACCCTCTCACTGGAGCCTGTCGGTACCCCGACACCACTGCCAGCTCTCACACCCTCCACCTCACCCGTAACACCCGTAACGGCACCCCCGGCAGCACGTGACAGTGCACCCCCCTCTGAAGGCAGGGCACGCGTGTGAGAGAGGTCTCTGGCGGCACGCGCGGTGTGGAGGGAAGGAGGCGGCACGTCTTTGGCGCCGCGCAGGGACGGCAGGAGCGGCTTGGCGGCGGCCAGGCGCGCCAGCATGCGCTGCAGGGATGCCGGCCCGCCAGCTGTCATGCTGTGCGCGATGACGTGGCAGTCTGCCATGTCAGCGCCGGCGAACTCGGCCTCCCGTGAGCAGGTGAGCGTGTCGGCCTGGTTGGGGGTGATGGGGGGTGATGGGGGTGATGGGGGGGGATGGGGGCGGATGGGGGCGGATGGGGGGTGATGGGGGGTGATGGGGGTGATGGGGGTGATGGGGGTGATGGGGGTGATGGGGGTGATGGGGGTGATGGGGGTGATGGGGGTGATGGGGGTGATGGGGGTGATGGGGGTGATGGGGGTGATGGGGGTGATGGGGGTGATGGGGGTGATGAGGGGTGATGGGGGGTGATGGGGGTGATGGGAGGTGATGGGGGGAAGGGGCAGAGTGGTTACCTTGAGAGCCATGAGGGGCCAGGTTGACTTGCATATATGCGCTGCTGCATGGCAGTGTGCAGGCACACTCTGCCTGGGATCGTGCTCACACGATCGGATTGGTTATATCATGCACTGAGATCCCCCTTGCGCTGAGATCCCCCTTGCTTACCTATCTTCCCCCTTGAGAGCCACGAGCGCAGGCACACTCCCATGCACGCGCCGCAGCCACCTTACTGCGCCGCGTCGACTGAAAAATCGACTCATCACGCGCCGCAGCCACCTTACCCACCCACCAGATCTCTCACCTTGAGCGCAACGAGAGTGGGCACAGCGGCGTGCACGCGCTGCTGCACGCCCGCGAGCGCCGCTGACGGCTCGTGCGCCGCCAGCAGTAAGAGATCCGCGAGACGCGCGTGCACTGCGGGAAGGGGGGGGCGGAGAGAAAAATGCGATGGCCCGAAGGGTGAAGGCTGGGAGGGGCGTGTTATCAACGTGCCTCGATAATCGGTTCGTGCGCCGCCAGCAGTACGAGGTCCGCCAGACGCGCATGCACTGCGGGGGGGAAGGGGCGCAGGTCGAGAGTGACGAGGGGATGAGAGGAGGAGGGATGAGAGAACGACGATGGCCTCAGCAATCGACTCGTGCGCCGCCGCCCCTCTTCGCCCCTCTTCGCCCCTCTCCGCCACTCTCCGCCCCTCCGCGAGACAAGTTTCCCCCACTTCCCCGCACAGCGCCCGCGCCGCCCCTCGGCGCACCTTGCTGCGCGGACGGCGACTCCGCCACGCGGGGAGGCATGGCGGCCCTGCGCGGAAGTCAGTTCGAAGCGGAACTGCGCGGAACGCGCCTCTCCCAGTCGGTGCCACAGTAAGCGACCGACTGCACAAAACGGGCTGTTCAATGCTGCAGCGATGCGCGAGGGGGGAAGGAGGGGTCGCGCGCGGAAGTAGTGCCGGCTTCGGGAATCGGGAGGTGAAGTGGCGGGAATTGCCCCTACATAAACGAAGTCGTTCTATCACACGCACAATCTGACTTATGAGGCGCCTCGACGAAAGTCATTCGGGCACGCGACGATTCTCCCCAATCCCCTCCTCGTCATTTCCACCAATCTTGTATGCACGTTCTGTTGCATCCAGCAGCGCATTTCGAGTCGAGAAAATGTCATTCCGACGGCCCGCCGTCGTCCCAATGTGTCCGTAATCGTTTCAGACTCCCTTTTTCGCGGTCAGCACAGCCGCTCGTTCGGAACCTCCCTTTTCGAGGCGAACGTTTATTCAGGCCTCCGCAGGCAGCTCAACAGGCCTCGTTAGCATGCCCTTTGTGGCTCAGGAATACTGCCCCTACTACAAGAGTTACAAACACCATAACCAACATCAGTCATTGAACGACAGCTTTTGACGCCAGTCGCGTTCTGACAAGTCAGTCCTCAAAAGACATCCCAAGCCATGCTGCCGCCTCTTGTCGCTCGCTTCTCGCCCTCCCCTCCTGCTCTCTCCGCCCCATCCTTCCCAATCGCCCACAGCCTTCACCCGTCATCCCTCCGCCCTTCACCCCTCCGCCCCCCCTCGCTCTCCCCCGCTCCTCCTCTCTTCTCACCCCAGCCCTTCCTTCTCGCCAAGAGGAGTCACCCATCCATACTCTTCCTCCCCTGGCTTGTGTCGCCTTCATCGCCTCACTGCCTATCCAATGCTAGCCCCAACAGCGCCTCAGGAGGTGGGGGGCGCTCCTTTCCTCCCTGCTGCTGCTCCTCCCGCTCCTCCTCCCCCTCCTCCCCCTCCTCCCCCTCCCCTCCGTCCTCCCCCTCCTCCCTCTCTTCCCCCTCCGCTTCCTCTTCACCCCCTACCCGCTCATTCTCCACTCCCCCCCAACCCCCTGGAATCTCCTCCCAGAAACCCCAAACTCCCAAACCCTGCAACCCCAGCCCCAATTCCCTGACCCGTGATTGGCTGACGCGCCTCCTCCTCTCGCCCTATTGGCTGCTGTCTCCCGCCAAAGCCACTCCCCACATCACCCAAGTGCATCTGGGCCCATCCCTTCACCTCGCCTGCCCCAAGATCCATAGAGAACCTTGGAGGAGCGAGGAGCAGTTGGGACAGGCACATGAGCTAGCTATAAATATAATACCAGCCCAGCAGGATCGGCGGCTTCTGTTGGTGCTGGTGCTGGGAAGAACAGTGCCCCTCTCTCTCCGCTCATCTGCACCGTTGATGTGATACGGGACGATCTCATCCATCCGTTGGCGGGCGGCAACAAGCTGCGCAAGCTGGACGGGCTGCTGCCGCCCGTTATCCGATCCGGGGTGACTGATGTGGTAAGCAAGTGGTGGTTTAATTGAGGTTGAGCCGTGCGATGGCAGGGCAATCTTGGGTGCACCAACTCGGTTTACCCTACCCGTCATCTGTTCGGTTTCCGTTCCCCTCCTCACCTGTCCTGTCCCCCAACCCCCTCCTCACAACTCTCCTCTCCCTCTGGCTTTGCTGCATCACTCCTCCAGGTCACGTGTGGGGGCTGTCAGAGCGCACACACTGCTGCTGTGGGTGAGTCATTCCCTACTGCTGCTGCGTATACTTGGAAACAACTCGGAACAATTTGATGTTTTCACTATTCGGTACTGAAGGGGCGGTGGTCACACGGCTATACCGCCAAACCCGTTCTCCTCGACCCTTTTCCTCTTCTCCCTTTTATTCCAGCCGTGGCATGTGCAGAGAGGGGCCTTAAAGCCCACCTCGTGCTCAGGGGAGAGCCGCCCAAAGTTCCTACCGGGAACGCCCTTGTTTCGCACATTTTCATCTGCCCGAGATATGTTTCTCGGGCAGAATACGCGGACCGGGAGAAGGCGCTTCTTTCTCGGGCAGTAGCGGTGGCTGGGGAAGAGGGGACGGTCCAGTGGGGTGCTGGGCCTGCCATGTCATCCATGACTAACGGCATGTCAGCAGTTGGAGGGGCCACGTCAGCAGCTCAATCTGCCACGTCAGGGTTGAGTGACACGTCAGCAGGGATGTATGAATCAGTGGAGGGGCATCCACGTGTGGCAATCATTCCTGAGGGCGGATCCGATGGACTGGCTCTGCTGGGTGAGTCAACCCTGGTCAAACAATCGTAGTCAATCTCCCGGCTCCATTGTTCCCTTCGCAATCACGCCTCCCTCCCTCATTCCCCTCCTCCCTGCATGCGTCTGCCCAGTCGCACTCACCCCTGCTCCAGTCCTCCTCCCTTCTTCCAGGCTTACTGCGGCTGGTGCACCTGCTGGCAGAGCGAGACAGGGCAAACCCCAGCTGTGTTAAGCACCATCCGCAGGGCGGGTAGCATGAGGCTGGGCAGGGAGACAAGGGCGTCAAGCAGCGGAGGAGAGTGGTGGTGGGGGACAGTGGCACGGGCACCACTGCTGTCGGCTGTGCCCGCTCCACTCCCTTCCCTCTCATTCTCCTCTGATCCAACTCTTCCTCCCCCAGGCTTACTGCGGCTGGTGCACCTGCTGGCAGAGCGAGACAGGCAGCAAGAGCGAGACAGGGCAAACCCCAGCTGGGTTAAGCACCATCCGGGGGACAGTCAGCATGAGGCTGGGCAAGACGACAGGCGAGTCGAGCAGCGGAGGCGAGTGGTGGTGGTGGACAGTGGCACGGGCACCACTGCTGTTGGCTGTGCACTCGCTGTGCATATGCTGGGGTGAGGTGCAATCTGAGTGCTAGTGCCCTCGTCGAAATAGAATCATTACCTGCTGCTCTCTCTCCATATCCACATCCTAGCCTTTTCCCCTCTTCTGCTTTGCTCTCCCTCATCATCCCTCCATCCCACCAACCAGCCTGCCCTGGCTCGTGGTGGGTGTAACACTGGCCGGTACCCATGCCTTACCTGTCCCGCTGCGTCCCACCTTGCCATCCCCCCTGCCCCTCGCCAGCCTGCCATGGCTCGTGGTGGGGGTAACACTGGCAGGCACCACTGATTACTACCACGCTCAGCAGCAGAAGCTGCTCAGAAGCTTCGCGGACCAGCTCCCCTCGATGCTCTCTCAGTCAGAAGCGCCGGTCCCTGTGACCGACCGAGGCCAGGAGGAGGAGTTTGATAGAACCTCAACAGACGCGGTAAAGGCAGCAGAAGCAGCAGAGGCAGCAGAAGAGGTGGAGCGAGCACAGCAGCAGCTGTCAGCGTGTGCTGGCGCGCTTCCCCTCGTGTGGGTGCCGCGGGAAACCCCCCGTCGGTATGTCCCATCCCATGCATCCCCCCTCCTTTACAACTCCGTGAGGAGATGGGAGATTTACCGCAACTCCGTGAGGAGATTTTCCGAGTCGAATCAACAGCGCCCTTCCCCTCGTGTGGGTGCCTCGAGAGACGCCCCGTCGGTACGTCCTATCCCATGCATCCCCCCTCCCCCTCCTTTGCAACATGATAATAAAAGGGTTTTGAAACCTCCCGAAACCCTTCCCCTCTTGTGGGTGCCTAGAGAGACGCCCCGTCGGTACGTCCCATCCTAAGCATCCCCCCTTCCCCCCTCCTTTGCCACTCCCTGCTGTGTGCCATGCCTGTGTGATGCTTTCATCCCCCCCACCGCCCCATCCCTTCCCATGCAGCTTTGGCAAGGTCCTACCCGGGGAGATCTCTCTGTGCTGCGAGTTCATGCGAGCAACAGAAATCCCCATCAATCCCATCTACACACTCGCTGCCACCAGTCTGCGCCCGCCACCACTGCCACTCACTTTCCTCTTCCCTCATTCCACATCCTCCCCCCCGTTTCTTACCTGGCAGATTTGGCAAGGTCCTACCCGGGGAGATCTCTCTGTGCTGCGAGTTCATGCGGGCAACGGGCATGCCCATCGATCCCAGCTACACCCTCCCTGCCTTCTTCCTTTTCCCCACTTCCCACGCAGCTTTGGCAAGGTTCTTCCCGGGAAGATCTCCCAGTGCTGTGAGTTCATGCGAGCAACAGGTGTCCCCATCCCATCGACCCCATTCACACACTCGCTGCCTTGCTCTCTCTCCCAATCCCCTGCAGCTTTGGCAAGGTCCTACCCGGGGAGATCTCTCTGTGCTGCGAGTTCATGCAGGCAATAGGGATCCCCATCGATCCCATCTACACACTCGCTGCCTTGCTCTCTCTCCCAATCCCCTGCAGCTTTGGCAAGGTTCTTCCTGGTGAAATCTCCCAGTGCTGCGACTTCATGCGGGCACCAAGGATCCCCATCGATCCCATCTACACCCTCCCTGCTTGGGAGGTCGCACACGATTTACCACGTGCCCTGCAGCCCACCACCACAGTCCCTCACTTGCTCTTCCCCTCTCCACCCCCCCAACTCCCCCTGGCAGCTTTGGCAAGGTTCTTCCAGGTGAAATCTCCCAATGCTGTGAGTTCATGCGAGCAACAGGCATCCCCATCGATCCCATCTACACAGTAGCTGCTTGGGAGGTCGCACACGCTTTACCACGTGCCATCACACTCACTCAGGCTCTAGGCCAGGCCAATGGAGGAGAGACACGTGGGCAAGGACTGGCTGATGAAGGGGACGCTGGAAAGCCTTCTGAGTCATCTCAAGCGCAGCCCGAGGAGGAGCAGAAGCAGTGCTCCAGCAATCAGGGTCGTTCTAAGCAGTTTGCTGAAACGCTTGCCCGGGCTATGCTGCCGAAGCTGAGAGATTGGTTCGGCAGCGGGCACGTGATGGGAAACAGTGGAGAAAGGGAAAGGAGCGGTGCCATCAGTACAAGTGACGTTCGTGCAAATGCTACTGCTGCTGCTGATGCCCATGACAGTGGTACCATCAGCATCACTGTGCTGCACACGGGAGGGACCCTGGACATGTTCGGGCTTGCACAACGATTCCCAGACGAATTCTCTCCTAAGGATTGAGACCGATGCTCCTGCTCATACTGCTGCTGACAGTGGTACCATCAGCATCACAGTGTTACACACGGGAGGGACCCTGGACATGTTCGGGCTTGCACAACGATTCCCAGACGAATTCTCTCCCAACAATCCACCACCTAACATGCCATCCTGATTGCGAGTCAGTATCCTGCATTGCCACAAAGCGTTAGGCTCTTGCTGGCATAGTGCCCTACAAGTTTCCACAATCACTTTCCTGTATGCAATGCCTCGAGTCGAGAGTTCCAGTGCTGCTTCACGAGCCTCATAAGCCATCCACAGGTAGAAACACCCTAGCCAGCCCAGGAACAGCCTGGCATGAGGAAGCTGGTCTTATGCACAGTATCTTGATTGCAGCAGAGCCGAAACGAAAGCACAGCGGCTGCAGCGAGAGAGCATGGTGACAAAAGAATGTCTAGCAGCTCACAAGCCGTTGTCCTGAAGGTCTAAGAACACCCGCCAGCCAGCATCAGCGGTGGTATCCACAGGCAAGAGGAAATCATCCCCCAGAGCCGCATCCCTGCACGTGGCCGTGCTGAAGGCAAAGCGCAGGCGCATGGTCTGAAGGGAGAAGAGAGACCCGAAGGAGCCCTGGAACATGTCGGCCTGGGCGCTGATCGCCATGGTCACCAGGTCCAGCACCTATCCCCTCTCTTCCCCTCCCCATCCTGCTCCCTCCTCCTTTCCTCCTCTACCTTCCTCACAAGCCGTTGTCCTGGAGATCCAAGAACACCCCCCAGCCGGCATCAGCGGTGGTTTCAACAGGCAAGAGAAAGTCATCCCCCAGGGCTGTGTCTTTACACGAAGCTGTGCTGAAGGCATAGCGCAGGCGCATGGTCTGAAGGGAGAAGAGAGACCCGAAGGAGCCCTGGAACATGTCAGCCTGCGAGCTGATCGCCATGGTCACCAGGTCTAGCACCTGCTGGAAGGTTCCTGGAAAGCGCTTGAGGATCCGCTGGTGGAAGGAGCGCGGGAAGATGAAGCGGACCGGATCGCCGTTGATCTCCCACAGCTTGTACCATGCTTCCCGGACCTGCCAATAAGGAGGATAGGGGCAAGGGGGCCATGCGGCAATAGAGGTGAGACGATACGTGGGAGGATGAAGCGGACCGGATCGCCGTTGATCTCCCACAGCTTGTACCATGCTTCCCGGACCTGGGGATAAGGGGGATAGGGGGTGATGCAGGGAACGGGATGGCAAAATGCATGGGACGAAAAAGCGGACAGGCTAAGCAGAGCCTGGGAGGATGAAGCGAACCGGGTGGCCGTTGATCTCCCACAGCTTGTACCATGCCTCTCGGACCGGCCAATAAGGGGGATGATGCAGCGAAGTGGATGAAAAAATGAAGAGGAACCGACGAATGGAACGAGCTGGCTGTTTCGGTTCCCCAATGCTTGCACCACACTTTCTCCACAGCTTGTACGGCACTAGCCACACCGGAAGCACCAACCCACCTCATACAGTCACCACGCCCTTAGAAATGAATTCACCGTGCCATGCTGGTGCAGCTCTCTTTCACGATTGGGCGCGGATCTTTAAAGTCGCGCGCGTGAACCAAGGCGCGCGCGTGGACGACGGCGCATGCGTGGACCAAGGCGCGCGCGTGGACCAAGTCGCGCGCGTGGACCAAGGCGCGCGCGTGGACCAAGGCGCGCGCGTGGACCAAGGCGCGCGCGTGGACCAAGGCGCGCGCGCGGACCAAGGCGCGCGCGTGGACCAAGGCGCGCACGTGGACCAAGGCGCGCGCGTGGACCAGGGCGCGCGCGTGGACCAGGCCGCGCGCGTGGACGACGGCGCATGCGTGGACCAAGGCGCGCGCGTGGACCAAGGCGCGCGCGTGGACCAAGGCGCGCGCGTGGACCAAGTCGCGCGCGTGGACCAAGGCGCGCGCGTGGACCAAGGCGCGCGTGTGGACCAAGGCGCGCGCGTGGACCAAGGCGCGCGCGTGGACCAAGGCGTGCGCGTGGACCAAGGCGCGCGCGTGGACCAAGGCGCGCGCGTGGACCAAGGCGCGCACGTGGACCAGGGCGCGCGCGTGGACCAGGGCGCGCGCGTGGACCAGGGCGCGCGCATGGACCAGGTCGCGCGCGTGGACCAAGGCGCGCGCGTGGACCAAGGCGCGCGCGTGGACCAAGGCGCGCGCGTGGACCAAGGCGCGCGCGTGGACAAAAAAAGCGCGTGGACCAAGGCGCGCGCGTGGACCAAGTCGCGCGCGTGGACCAGGTCGCGCGCGTGGACCAAGGCGCGCGCGTGGACCAAGGCGCGCGCGTGGACCAAGGCGCGCGCGTGGACCAGGTCGCGCGCGTGGACCAAGGCGCGCGCGTGGACCAAGGCGCGCGCATGGACCAAGGCGCGCGCGTGGACCAAGGCGCGCGCGTGGACCAAGGCGCGCGCGTGGACCAAGGCGCGCGCGTGGACCAGGGCGCGCGCGTGGACCAGGGCGCGCGCGTGGACCACGGCGCGCGCGTGGACCACGGCGCGCGCGTGGACCAGGTCGCGCGCGTGGACCAAGGCGCGCGCGTGGACCAAGGCGCGCGCGTGGACCAAGGCGCGCGCGTGGACCAAGGCGCGCGCGTGGACCAAGGCGCGCGCGTGGACCAAGGCGCGCGCGTGGACCAAGGCGCGCGCGTGGACCAAGGCGCGCGCGTGGACCAAGGCGCGCGCGTGGACCAAGGCGCGCGCGTGGACCAAGGCGCGCGCGTGGACCAGGGCGCGCGCGTGGACCAGGGCGCGCGCGTGGACCAGGGCGCGCGCGTGGACCAGGTCGCGCGCGTGGACCAGGTCGCGCGCGTGGACCAAGGCGCGCGCGTGGACCAAGGCGCGCGCGTGGACCAAGGCGCGCGCGTGGACCAAGGCGCGCGCGTGGACCAAGGCGCGCGCGTGGACCAAGGCGCGCGCGTGGACCAAGGCGCGCGCGTGGACCAAGGCGCGCGCGTGGACCAGGGCGCGCGCGTGGACCAGGGCGCGCGCGTGGACCAGGGCGCGCGCGTGGACCAGGTCGCGCGCGTGGACCAAGGCGCGCGCGTGGACCAAGGCGCGCGCGTGGACCAAGGCGCGCGCGTGGACCAGGTCGCGCGCGTGGACCAGGGCGCGCGCGTGGACCACGGCGCGCGCGTGGACCAAGGCGCGCGCGTGGACCAAGGCGCGCGCGTGGACCAAGGCGCGCGCGTGGACCAAGGCGCGCGCGTGGTCCAAGGCGCGCGCGTGGACAAAGGCGCGCGCGTGGACCAAGGCGCGCGCGTGGACCAAGGCGCGCGCGTGGACCAAGGCGCGCGCGTGGACCAAGGCGCGCGCGTGGACCAAGGCGCGCGCGTGGACCAAGGCGCGCGCGTGGACCAAGGCGCGCGCGTGGACCAAGGCGCGCGCGTGGACCAAGGCGCACGCGTGGACCAAGGCGACCAAGGCGCGCGCGTGGACCAAGGCGCGCGCGTGGACCAAGGCGCGCGCGTGGACCAAGGCGCGCGCGTGGACCAAGTCGCGCGCGTGGACCAGGTCGCGCGCATGGACCAAGGCGCGCGCGTGGACCAAGGCGCGCGCGTGGACCAAGGCGCGCGCGTGGACCAAGGCGCGCGCGTGGACCGAGGCGCGCGCGTGGACAAGGGCGCGCGCGTGGACCAAGGCGCGCGCGTGGACAAAGGCGCGCGCGTGGACCAAGGCGCGCGCGTGGACCAGGGCGCGCGCGTGGACCAAGGCGCGCGCGTGGACCAAGGCGCGCGCGTGGACCAAGGCGCGCGCGTGGACCAAGGCGCGCGCGTGGACCAAGGCGCGCGCGAGGACCAAGGCGCGCGCGTGGACCAAGTCGCGCGCGTGGACCAAGTCGCGCGCGTAGACCAAGGCGCGCGCGTGGACCAAGGCGCGCGCGTGGACCAAGGCGCGCGCGTGGACCAAGGCGCGCGCGTGGACCAGGGCGCGCGCGTGGACCAGGGCGCGCGCGTGGACCAGGGCGCGCGCGTGGACCAAGGCGCGCGCGTGGACCAAGGCGCGCGCGTGGACCAAGGCGCGCGCGTGGACCAAGGCGCGCGCGTGGACCAAGGCGAGCGCGTGGACCAAGGCGCGCGCGTGGACCAAGGCGCGCGCGTGGACCAAGGCGCGCGCGTGGACCAAGGCGCGCGCGTGGACCAAGGCGCGCGCGTGGACCAGGTCCAAGGCGCGCGCGTGGACCAGGTCCAAGGCGCGCGCGTGGACCAGGGCGCGCGCGTGGAACAGGGCGCGCGCGTGGACCAGGGCGCGCGCGTGGACCAGGGCGCGCGCGTGGACCAAGGCGCGCGCGTGGACCACGGCGCGCGCGTGGACAAGGTCGCGCGCGTGGACCAGGTCGCGCGCGTGGACCAGGGCGCGCGCGTGGACCAAGGCGCGCGCGTGGACCAAGGCGCGCGCGCGTGGAACAAGTCGCGCGCGTGGACCAAGGCGCGCGCGTGGACCTAGGCGCGCGCGTGGACCAAGGCGCGCGCGTGGACCAAGGCGCGCGCGTGGACCAAGGCGCGCGCGTGGACCAAGGCGCGCGCGTGGACCAAGGCGCGCGCGTGGACCAAGGCGCGCGCGTGGACCAAGGCGCGCGCGTGGACCAAGGCGCGCGCGTGGACCAAGGCGCGCGCGTGGACCAAGGCGCGCGCGTGGACCAAGGCGCGCGCGTGGACCAAGGCGCGCGCGTGGACCAGGGCGCGCGCGTGGACCAGGGCGCGCGCGTGGACCAGGGCGCGCGCGTGGACCAGGGCGCGCACGTCAGGTCGCGCGCGTGGACCAAGGCGCGCGCGTGGACCAAGGCGCGCGCGTGGACCAAGGCGCGCGCGTGGACCAGGTCGCGCGCGTGGACCACGGCGCGCGCGTGGACCACGGCGCGCGCGTGGACCAAGGCGCGCGCGTGGACCAAGGCGCGCGCGTGGACCAGGGCGCGCGCGTGGACCAAGGCGCGCGCGTGGACCAGGGCGCGCGCGTGGACCAGGGCGCGCGCGTGGACCAGGGCGCGCGCGTGGACCAGGTCGCGCGCGTGGACCAAGGCGCGCGCGTGGACCAAGGCGCGCGCGTGGACCAAGGCGCGCGCGTGGACCAAGGCGCGCGCGTGGACCAAGGCGCGCGCGTGGACCAAGGCGCGCGCGTGGACCAAGGCGCGCGCGTGGACCAAGGCGCGCGCGTGGACCAAGGCGCGCGCGTGGACCAAGGCGCGCGCGTGGACCAGGGCGCGCGCGTGGACCAGGGCGCGCGCGTGGACCAGGGCGCGCGCGTGGACCAGGTCGCGCGCGTGGACCAGGTCGCGCGCGTGGACCAAGGCGCGCGCGTGGACCAAGGCGCGCGCGTGGACCAAGGCGCGCGCGTGGACCAAGGCGCGCGCGTGGACCAAGGCGCGCGCGTGGACCAAGGCGCGCGCGTGGACCAAGGCGCGCGCGTGGACCAAGGCGCGCGCGTGGACCAAGGCGCGCGCGTGGACCAGGGCGCGCGCGTTGACCAGGGCGCGCGCGTGGACCAGGGCGCGCGCGTGGACCAGGTCGCGCGCGTGGACCAAGGCGCGCGCGTGGACCAAGGCGCGCGCGTGGACCAAGGCGCGCGCGTGGACCAGATCGCGCGCGTGGACCAAGGCGCGCGCGTGGACCACGGCGCGCGCGTGGACCAAGGCGCGCGCGTGGACCAAGGCGCGCGCGTGGACCAAGGCGCGCGCGTGGACCAAGGCGCGCGCGTGGACCAAGGCGCGCGCGTGGACCAAGGCGCGCGCGTGGACCAAGGCGCGCGCGTGGACCAAGGCGCACGCGTGGACCAAGGCGCGCGCGTGGACCAGGTCCAAGGCGCGCGCGTGGACCAGGTCCAAGGCGCGCGCGTGGACCAGGGCGCGCGCGTGGACCAGGGCGCGCGCGTGGACCAGGGCGCGCGCGTGGACCAGGGTTCGCGCGTGGACCAGGGCACGCGCGTGGACCAAGGCGCGCGCGTGGACCAAGGCGCGCGCATGGACCAAGGCGCGCGCGTGGAACAAGTCGCGCGCGTGGACCAAGGCGCGCGCGTGGACCAAGGCGCGCGCGTGGACCAAGGCGCGCGCGTGGACCAAGGCGCGCGCGTGGACCAAGGCGCGCGCGTGGACCAAGGCGCGCGCGTGGACCAAGGCGCGCGCGTGGACCAAGGCGCGCGCGTGGACCAAGGCGCGCGCGTGGACCAAGGCGCGCGCGTGGACCAAGGCGCGCGCGTGGACCAAGGCGCGCGCGTGGACCAAGGCGCGCGCGCGGACCAAGGCGCGCGCGCGGACCAAGGCGCGCGCGTGGACCAAGGCGCGCGCGTGGACCAAGGCGCGCGCGTGGACCAAGGCGCGCGCGTGGACCAAGGCGCGCGCGTGGTCCAAGGCGCGCGCGTGGACAAAGGCGCGCGCGTGGACCAAAACGCGCGCGTGGACCAAGGCGCGCGCGTGGACCAAGGCACGCGCGTGGACCAAGGCGCGCGCGTGGACCAAGGCGCGCGCGTGGACCAAGGCGCGCGCGTGGACCAAGGCGCGCGCGTGGACCAAGGCGCGCGCGTGGACCAAGGCGCGCGCGTGGACCAAGGCACACGCGTGGACCAAGGCGCGCGCGTGGACCAAGGCGCGCGCGTGGACCAAGGCGCGCGCGTGGACCAGGTCGCGCGCGTGGACCAAGGCGCGCGCGTGGACCAAGGCGCGCGCGTGGACCGAGGCGCGCGCGTGGACAAGGGCGCGCGCGTGGACCAAGGCGCGCGCGTGGACAAAGGCGCGCGCGTGGACCAAGGCGCGCGCGTGGACCAGGGCGCGCGCGTGGACCAAGGCGCGCGCGTGGACCAAGGCGCGCGCGTGGACCAAGGCGCGCGCGTGGACCAAGGCGCGCACGTGGACCAAGGCGCGCGCGTGGACCAAGGCGCGCGCGAGGACCAAGGCGCGCGCGTGGACCAAGGCGCGCGCGTGGACCAAGGCGCGCGCGTGGACCAAGGCGCGCGCGTGGACCACGGCGCGCGCGTGGACCACGGCGCGCGCGTGGACCAGGGCGCGCGCGTGGACCAGGTCGCGCGCGTGGACCAGGGCGCGCGCGTGGACCAAGGCGCGCGCGTGGACCAAGGCGCGCGCGTGGACCAGGGCGCACGCGTGGACCAGGTCGCGCGCGTGGACCAAGGCGCGCGCGTGGACCACGGCGCGCGCGTGGACCAAGGCGCGCGCGTGGACCAAGGCGCGCGCGTGGACCAAGGCGCGCGCGTGGACCAAGGCGCGCGCGTGGACCAAGGCGCGCGCGTGGACCAAGGCACACGCGTGGACCAAGGCGCGCGCGTGGACCAGGTCCAAGGCGCGCGCGTGGACCAGGTCCAAGGCGCGCGCGTGGACCAGGGCGCGCGCGTGGACCAGGGCGCGCGCGTGGACCAGGGCGCGCGCGTGGACCAGGGCGCGCGCGTGGACCAGGGCACGCGCGTGGACCAAGGCGCGCGCGTGGACCAAGGCGCGCGCATGGACCAAGGCGCGCGCGTGGAACAAGTCGCGCGCGTGGACCAAGGCGCGCGCGTGGACCAAGGCGCGCGCGTGGACCAAGGCGCGCGCGTGGACCAAGGCGCGCGCGTGGACCAAGGCGCGCGCGTGGACCAAGGCGCGCGCGTGGACCAAGGCGCGCGCGTGGACCAAGGCGCGCGCGTGGACCAAGGCGCGCGCGTGGACCAAGGCGCGCGCGTGGACCAAGGCGCGCGCGTGGACCAGGGCGCGCGCGTGGACCAGGGCGCGCGCGTGGACCAGGGCGCGCGCGTGGACCAGGGCGCGCGCGTGGACCAAGGCGCGCGCGTGGACCAAGGCGCGCGCGTGGACCAAGGCGCGCGCGTGGACCAGGGCGCGCGCGTGGACCAGGGCGCGCGCGTGGACCAAGGCGCGCGCGTGGACCAAGGCGCGCGCGTGGACCAAGGCGCGCGCGTGGACCAAGGCGCGCGCGCGCGTGGACCAAGGCGCGCGCGCGGACCAAGGCGCGCGCCGCGGACCAAGGCGCGCGCGCGGACCAAGGCGCGCGCGCGGACCAAGGCGCGCGCGCGGACCAAGGCGCGCGCGCGGACCAAGGCGCGCGCGCGGACCAAGGCGCGCGCGCGGACCAAGGCGCGCGCGCGGACCAAGGCGCGCGCGCGGACCAAGGCGCGCGCGCGGACCAAGGCGCGCGCGCGGACCAAGGCGCGCGCGCGGACCAAGGCGCGCGCGTGGACCAAGGCGCGCGCGTGGCCCAAGGCGCGCGCGTGGACCAGGGCGCGCGCGTGGACCAAGGCGCGCGCGTAGACCAAGGCGCGCGCGTGGACCAGGTCGCGCGCGTGGACCAAGGCGCGCGCGTGGACCAAGGCGCGCGCGTGGACCAAGTCGCGCGCGTGGACCAAGGCGCGCGCGTGGACCAGGTCGCGCGCGTGGACCACGGCGCGCGCGTGGACCAGGTCGCGCGCGTGGACCAGGGCGCGCGCGCGGACCAAGGCGCGCGCGCGGACCAAGGCGCGCGCGCGGACCAAGGCGCGCGCGCGGACCAAGGCGCGCGCGCGGACCAAGGCGCGCGCGCGGACCAAGGCGCGCGCGCGGACCAAGGCGCGCGCGCGGACCAAGGCGCGCGCGCGGACCAAGGCGCGCGCGCGGACCAAGGCGCGCGCGCGGACCAAGGCGCGCGCGTGGACCAAGGCGCGCGCGTGGACCAGGTCGCGCGCGTGGACCAAGGCGCGCGCGTGGACCAAGGCGCGCGCGTGGACCAAGGCGCGCGCGTGGACCAAGGCGCGCGCGTGGACCAAGGCGCGCGCGTGGACCAAGGCGCGCGCGTGGACCAAGGCGCGCGCGTGGACCAAGGCGCGCCCGTGGACCAAGGCGCGCGCGTGGACCAAGGCGCGCGCGTGGACCAGGGCGCGCGTGTTGACCAGGTCGCGCGCGTTGACCAAGTCGCGCGCGTGGACCAAGTCGCGCGCGTGGACCAAGGTCGCGCGCGTGGACCAAGGTCGCGCGCGTGGACCAAGACGCGCGCGTGGACCAAGACGCGCGCGTGGACCAAGGCGTGCGCGTGGACCAAGGCGCGCGCGTGGACCAAGGCGCGCGCGTGGACCAAGGCGCGCGCGTGGACCAGGTCGCGCGCGCGCGCGTGGACCAAGGCGCGCGGGTGGACGAAGGCGCGCGCCTGGACCAAGGCGCGCGCGTGGACCAAGGCGCGCGCGTGGACCAAGGCGCGCGCGTGGACCAAGGCGCGCGCGTGGACCAAGGCGCGCGCGTGGACCAAGGCGCGCGCGTGGACCAAGGCGCGCGCGTGGACCAAGGCGCGCGCGTGGATCAAGGCACGGGCGTGGACCAAGGCGCGCGCGTGGACCAAGGCAGGCGCGCGCGTGGACCAAGGCGCGCGCGTGGACCAGGTCGCGCGCGTGGACCAAGGCGCGCGCGTGGACCAGGGTGCGCGCGTGGACCAGGTCCAAGGCGCGCGCGTGGACCAAGGCGCGCGCGTGGACCAAGGCGCGCGCGTGGACCAAGGCGCGCGCGTGGACCAAGGCGCGCGCGTGGACCAAGGCGCGCGCGTGGACCAAGGCGCGCGCGTGGACCAAGGCGCGCGCGTGGACCAAGGCGCGCGCGTGGACCAAGGCGCGCGCGTGGACCAAGGCGCGCGCGTGGACCAGGTCGCGCGCGTGGACCAAGGCGCGCGCGTGGACCAGGTCGCGCGCGTGGACAACGTCACATGCGTGGACCAAGGCGCGCGCGTGGACCAAGGCGCGCGCGTGGACCAAGGCGCGCGCGTGGACCAAGGCGCGCGCGTGGACCAAGGCGCGCGCGTGGACCAAGGCGCGCGCGTGGACCAAGGCGCGCGCGTGGACCAAGGCGCGCGCGTGGACCAAGGCGCGCGCGTGGACCAGGGCGCGCGCGTTGACCAGGCGCGCGCGTGGACCAGGTCGCGCACGTGGACCAAGTCGCGCGCGTGGACCAAGGCGCGTGCGTGGACCAAGGCGCGCGCGTGGACCAAGGCGCGCGCGTGGACCAAGGCGCGCGCGTGGACCAAGGCGCGCGCGTGGACCAGGTCGCGCGCGTGGACCAAGGCGCGCGCGTGGACCAGGTCGCGCGCGCGCGCGTGGACCAGGGCGCGCGCGTGGACCAAGGCGCGCGCGTGGACCAAGGCGCGCGCGTATACCAAGGCGCGCCCGTGGACCAAGGCGCGCGCGTGGACCAAGGCGCGCGCGTGGACCAAGGCGCGCGCGTGGACCAAGGCGCGCGCGTGGACCAAGGCGCGCGCGTGGACCAAGGCGCGCGCGTGGACCAAGGCGCGCGCGTGAACCAAGGCGCGCGCGTGGACCAAGGCGCGCGCGTGGACCAAGGCGCGCGCGTGGACCAAGGCGCGCGCGTGGACCAAGGCGCGCGCGTGGACCAAGGCGCGCGCGTGGACCAGGTCGCGCGCGTGAACCAGGTCGCGCGCGTGGACCAAGGCGCGCGCGTGGACCAAGGCGCGCGCGTGGACGAAGGCGCGCACGTGGACGAATGCGCGCGCGTGGACCAAGGCGCGCGCGTGGACCAAGGCGCGCGCGTGGACCAAGGCGCGCGCGTGGACCAAGGCGCGCGCGTGGACCAAGGCGCGCGCGTGGACCAAGGCGCGCGCGTGGACCAAGGCGCGCGCGTGGACCAAGGCGCGCGCGTGGACCAGGTCGCGCGCGTGGACCAAGGCGCGCGCGTGGACCAAGGCGCGCGCGTGGACCAAGGCGCGCGCGTGGACCAAGGCGCGCGCGTGGACCAAGGCGCGCGCGTGGACCAAGGCGCGCGCGTGGACCAAGGCGCGCGCGTGGACCAAGGCGCGCGCGTGGACCAAGGCGCGCGCGTGGACCAAGGCGCGCGCGTGGACCAAGGCGCGCCCGTGGACCAAGGCGCGCGCGTGGACCAGGGCGCGCGTGTTGACCAGGTCGCGCGCGTTGACCAAGTCGCGCGCGTGGACCAAGTCGCGCGCGTGGACCAAGGTCGCGCGCGTGGACCAAGGTCGCGCGCGTGGACCAAGACGCGCGCGTGGACCAAGACGCGCGCGTGGACCAAGGCGTGCGCGTGGACCAAGGCGCGCGCGTGGACCAAGGCGCGCGCGTGGACCAAGGCGCGCGCGTGGACCAGGTCGCGCGCGCGCGCGCGTGGACCAAGGCGCGCGGGTGGACGAAGGCGCGCGCCTGGACCAAGGCGCGCGCGTGGACCAAGGCGCGCGCGTGGACCAAGGCGCGCGCGTGGACCAAGGCGCGCGCGTGGACCAAGGCGCGCGCGTGGACCAAGGCGCGCGCGTGGACCAAGGCGCGCGCGTGGACCAAGGCGCGCGCGTGGATCAAGGCACGGGCGTGGACCAAGGCGCGCGCGTGGACCAAGGCGCGCGCGTGGACCAGGTCGCGCGCGTGGACCAAGGCGCGCGCGTGGACCAGGGTGCGCGCGTGGACCAGGTCGCGCGGACGCGCGCGTGGACCAAGGCGCGCGCGTGGACCAAGGCGCGCGCGTGGACCAAGGCGCGCGCGTGGACCAAGGCGCGCGCGTGGACCAAGGCGCGCGCGTGGACCAAGGCGCGCGCGTGGACCAAGGCGCGCGCGTGGACCAAGGCGCGCGCGTGGACCAAGGCGCGCGCATGGACCAAGGCGCGCGCGTGGACCAGGTCGCGCGCGTGGACCAAGGCGCGCGCGTGGACCAGGTCGCGCGCGTGGACAACGTCACATGCGTGGACCAAGGCGCGCGCGTGGACCAAGGCGCGCGCGTGGACCAAGGCGCGCGCGTGGACCAAGGCGCGCGCGTGGACCAAGGCGCGCGCGTGGACCAAGGCGCGCGCATGGACCAAGGCGCGCGCGTGGACCAAGGCGCGCGCGTGGACCAAGGCGCGCGCGTGGACCAGGGCGCGCGCGTTGACCAGGCGCGCGCGTGGACCAGGTCGCGCACGTGGACCAAGTCGCGCGCGTGGACCAAGGCGCGTGCGTGGACCAAGGCGCGCGCGTGGACCAAGGCGCGCGCGTGGACCAAGGCGCGCGCGTGGACCAAGGCGCGCGCGTGGACCAGGTCGCGCGCGTGGACCAAGGCGCGCGCGTGGACCAGGTCGCGCGCGCGCGCGCGTGGACCAGGGCGCGCGCGTGGACCAAGGCGCGCGCGTGGACCAAGGCGCGCGCGTATACCAAGGCGCGCCCGTGGACCAAGGCGCGCGCGTGGACCAAGGCGCGCGCGTGGACCAAGGCGCGCGCGTGGACCAAGGCGCGCGCGTGGACCAAGGCGCGCGCGTGGACCAAGGCGCGCGCGTGGACCAAGGCGCGCGCGTGAACCAAGGCGCGCGCGTGGACCAAGGCGCGCGCGTGGACCAAGGCGCGCGCGTGGACCAAGGCGCGCGCGTGGACCAAGGCGCGCGCGTGGACCAAGGCGCGCGCGTGGACCAGGTCGCGCGCGTGAACCAGGTCGCGCGCGTGGACCAAGGCGCGCGCGTGGACCAAGGCGCGCGCGTGGACGAAGGCGCGCACGTGGACGAATGCGCGCGCGTGGACCAAGGCGCGCGCGTGGACCAAGGCGCGCGCGTGGACCAAGGCGCGCGCGTGGACCAAGGCGCGCGCGTAGACCAAGGCGCGCGCGTGGACCAAGGCGCGCGCGTGGACCAAGGCGCGCGCGTGGACCAAGGCGCGCGCGTGGACCAAGGCGCGCGCGTGGACCAAGGCGCGCGCGTGGACCAGGTCGCGCGCGTGGACCAAGGCGCGCGCGTGGACCAAGGCGCGCGCGTGGACCAAGGCGCGCGCGTGGACCAAGGCGCGCGCGTGGACCAAGGCGCGCGCGTGGACCAAGGCGCACGCGTGGACCAAGGCGCGCGCGTGGACCAAGGCGCGCGCGTGGACCAAGGCGCGCGCGTGGACCAAGGCGCGCGCGTGGACCAAGGCGCGCGCGTGGACCAAGGCGCGCGCGTGGACCAAGGTGCGCGCGTGGAACTTGGACCATGTCGCGCGTTTGGAACCAACCCACCTCTTGAATCGATGCGTCTGTGACAAGCAAGAGCCATCGAATGCCAGATGCTGATAGCGCACCAATCAGCAACCCACCTTATACAGTCATGCACCATCCAGCACCGAGCAACCATCCCACCTCTTGATCCGATGCATCGGTGACAAGAACGAGCCTTCGAATGCCCGAGGCTGACAGCTTGCGCCACAAGCAACCCGCCAACTCATGCAGTCACATGCCTTTTAGGAACCAACCAACCCACCTCATACAGTCACACACCATCACGCACCAAGTGACCCACCTCTTGATCCGATGCGTCAGTGACAAAAAAGAGCCTTCGAATGCCCGAGGCTGACAGTTTGCGCCACAAGCACCCCGCCACCTCAGCAACCGATAGCTGGCAGGCACGGTTTCCAACGCCTTTGATGTAACCCCCATCGCCGTCACCACCACCATCACCACCACTACTGCTGCTGCTGCTATTGGTATTCGTACTATCCTCTATGCTTCTCAACCCTCTTCTTTTACCTTTCTTCACAAACCCAATGCTAGACTTTGATTCTTTATCTGCTGCAGCTGCTCTTGCTGCTGCTGCATCTGCATCCCCCCCCAAGTCACACCAAAGCTGACCCTCCAACCCTGCCCTCTTCTCATAATTCACCGCAAGAAACGGAATTTTCGCCCCGTCGCTGCCCGAGAAAAAGGTTTTCTGAATCTCGTTCGCCAGCCGCAGAACCTTCCGGTTGGGCAGGAGCGTGTACGGGTTTGGGCAGCCCGGCGAACGAACAAACGGCGCATCCCCTGGAAAGTTGACCAGATTCGGAGCATCTGGGACCTCCCAGAACGCGTAGAGCAAATCCCCCACAAAGAGCACCCGTGCCGAGCGAACCTCCGGCGCGGTGTAGACCGAGAGGAACGACCGGAGAGGGGACCGCCGAGTGAGGTTTGCAAAGAGGGCGGCTCGTGGAAAGGTGAGGTCGGGGCGGGCTCGGAATCGCTTGGGGAGGACGGATTTGTCCTTGTACCAGGGGACTAGAGCGTCGATGGCTATGGGTTGTGCTGTTTCTTCGGGGTCAAAACCCTCTTCCATTGACGAATTCTCCTCGTCTTCTGGCAGCTTCGTTTTTGCTTCCTTATCCTTCTTCTTCTTCTTCCCCTTCAGAAGCCGCCTCCATTGGACCGTCTCTGCTTCTCCCTCTCTCCTCCGTTCTTCATCGCCATCCCCTGCTCTTCCCCTCTCTTCCTCTTCCTCGTCCTCCTCCGTCAACCCCTCCCTCCCTCCCACTTCCCCTTCTCTCACCCCCAAACCAGCATCGCCCCGACCAACCAGCACCCTCCTCCTCCCCTCCTCCCCACCCTCGCCTCCTCCCCCTTTCCCCCTCTCCCGTGCTCTCCACTCGTGCGCCAGCAGCACAGTGTCCTCCCCATAGCACATCCTGAGGTGCCCAATATCGACAGCCAGCTCCCACGAGTGCTCGCCCCGCACGCCCTTGCCATGGAAGCGGCCGATCAGCAGAGTGCGGTTGAGCAGCCCTGCTAGCAGCACGTGGTGCTGTAGACACACCAGCCGCTCGCTCAACTGCCAGAGGGAGTAGTGAGTGGGGGAAAGGAGAGTACGAGAGGGATGAATGAGGGGGAAACGGATGGGAGAGGTGGGTTGGATGGGAGGTGATGGGAGGGGTGGGTTGGATGGGAGGGGATGGGAGGGGTGCGTTGGATGGGAGGGGATGGGAGGGATGGGTTGGATGGAAGGGGATGGGAGGGGTTTGTTGGTTGGGAGGGCATGTGAGGGTTGGGTTGGATGGGAAACCAGTGGAGTATAACAAAGCGGCCAGACACCTCCCCTTTCTCTCCTTCCCTTCCTCATCCCCCTCTCCTTCCCTCCCTCTCCTTCCGTTCCTCCACGCCCTCACCTTGCCCTTATGGCACGAGAGCAGCAGGTACCGGTCCGCCTCTGGTTTCCACAGCAACAGACCGTTGCCACCACCACCACCACCACCACCATCAATTTTGAAAATTCTTTAACGAGAAATGGCACGTGACTCGACCCCCTCACCTTGCCCTTGTGGCACGAGAGCAGCAGGTACCGGTCCGCCTCTGGTTTCCATTGCAACAAACCGTTGCCTCCACCACCACCACCACCACCCTTGTTGGCATTAGAAGCAGCAGCAGACGCTGCAGCTGCTGCGGCTGCTGCTGCTGCTGTGGTGCGCTTCTCGCTGAACAGACGCGTGGCGCCACAGTGGCGCGCCAGCTGGCAGTTGCGAGTCTCTAGAGCCAATAGGAACGCAGGGATTCTGGAGCACGATGGTGAAGTGTGGGAGGGGAGTGGAGAGAGCACGGGAGAGGAAGGGGAATGCGGGTGGATGGAATGTCAGGAAGTGTGAATGCTTCGAGTTTGACCATGATAGCTGAAACGTCACGATGCCACGTGGCGTTCCAGTCATGTAACATTGTTCGGGTGACGTATGTGAATCATGGAAAGAGGATCTCTTGCCACGTGCCTCCCCACTATCCCTCTACACTCTTGAGGCGACTCAAAAGATTTGAAGACTTTTGAGGCGCCTCAAGAATCATGGAAAGAGGATTTCTTGCCACGTGCCTCCCTATTATCCCTCTACACTCCCTGAGCACTCCTCCGTTGAAGTCCCCCACCCTCCCTCCTTCAACAATGCTCTCCCTGCTTACTGGTCCTTTGCACTCCCAGCTGCTTCAGTGTCTCCCGCATTCTCTGCATCCGTGGCAATCGCACTCGTGCTAGTCGGTAACCCTATTCGCAGCAGCTCGTTAACGTGCGATCCAGCTGCCTCCTCAGCCTCCGCCTCAGATTCCTCATTCCCAGGATCAGTTTCGGAACTTTCCGGGACATCATCCGGGATTTCCGGAATCTCTGCAAGTTCTGGAACTTCCGGCGGCGCTTCTAACGGCTCTGATTCGTCCGAGTTGCTCGCCAAGGGACCCTCGGCTAATACGGGTAGTGCATGCTTTGACAAGACGAGGGAGAATGAGAGTAACAGAACGACACATAATCGAGCAACTATTTTCATGTCGAGCAGCTGACAGGAAATCCAGGAGGCAGCATGAGTAGCTAACGAATTTGCGCGGCAACGAGAGCGAATCTGACTGACAGAGGAAGCTTTGCCAGCAGAACACATGGAGGGAAACTATGGAGGGAGGAGGACGCGTTTCATTCCATCCTACAAATATCAATAGAAGAGCCACAAGTACAGTAAGCGGAAAAATGTTTTGTATGGAAAAAATGCTGAGATGGCAGATATAGATTTTATAGCATCCTAGAAGCACCTCTCGAATGTCTGAGACATGAAAGGCTGGTGTAACTTCTTCCATCCATAGCATGCCCGACCTGATGGCGACACTATGGTTCTCTACAATCACAGAAAATCAATGACTATGATTATTCAGTGGTTAATCAACTCTGTAGATGTCATTTCAGAAAAAACGGCATTAGATGATCTGAGCATCTAAAGCTCACAAATTCGCACCATTTTATAGATGATTTCCTCCAGGAGGTACAGGTGTAGCACCAGTCGAATAAACGAATCGAAGCGTCAGTTTGACGTCAGGTTCCCGCGGGTTCCCCAGACTCCGCAGTCGCGCTGATTGGCGGAATAGCATCCTGCGCGCAGAGGAATCAGTGCTGCGCTCTGCGCGCGCTTCACCGCTTCTCCTCCCTCCGCCCTCCGCCCCTCTTTCTCCTTGGCTCGGTTTACCTAAAAAGGGGCGAAAATTGCTCAACAAGAACCTAGAAATTGCCATCTCGGGGAGTTCAGCACAGACTTTATTGATTTCTCACTGGCGCTTCCCTTGAGCTTGTCATCAGCTTTTCCTGTCTCGCTCGTTTGCCAAGATCTTGGATTTCCTCGACAGGAGAGTAAACTCCCGCTCTCAAGTCGGTCGGGTATTGTAGGGCTGGCCTCTGCGCCCTCTAATTCACCCGTTTCCGTTTCAGAGCCACGGGGAACCAAGATTTGGTCGACTGAGGCACTGTTACCCCTTTAGAAGGCTTCTGATGGAGCAGCAGGAGCACGACGATATCAATGAGGGCATGGAGCAGCTAGCAATTCACGGTCCCTTGCCCATCGAGCAGCTAGAGGTAACATAAGAGGTCAATCGCGAACCTGTTGATGGATCATACGCAGTGCACTAGTTATTTCGAAGCCCCATGCGCATTTGAGTTCTTTTTTTTTCTGCAGCAATGCGGAATTTCTGCGACGGATGTGAAGAAGCTTCGTGAAGGAGGATTGTTCACTGTCGAAGCTGTAGCTTTCACAAGTAGAAAAGACCTCCTCAAGATTAAAGGCATCAGCGAGGCAAAAGTCGACCGTCTGAACGAGGCAGGCAAGTTCCGCTCGTTCTGCCATGACGCTTCTTCCGGTTCAGTACCTCTTGATAAAGTTTCGTAACTGTTTTGCTTATGCAGCCAGTAAGCTGGTTCCGATGGGGTTCCAGAGTGCAACTCACGTGCATCAAATGAGAAGCAACGTCATTCATTTAACTACAGGATCGAAGGAGCTCGATGCTATCCTGCAAGGTAATTAACTGATGCAGTGGGATACAGCTGATGCGTGAAACATGGATTAGGTTACTGTGATGCCAGCCGTTCAAGACGTGACACTCTAAACGATGGAAACTTTTATTCTCAGGTGGTGTGGAGACAGGGTCCATAACGGAGATCTATGGCGAGTTTCGCACAGGAAAGACACAGCTTTGCCTCACATTGGCTGTCACTTGTCAAGTGAGTAATGTTTTTCCGTCTCAGTTGGGATTTGTGCGGTTGTTCTCTCCAATCTTTTACTAACACTTTTACTGATTCCGCCTGCAGCTTCCAGTGGCCGATGGCGGAGGCGAGGGCAGGGCACTTTGGATTGACACGGAAGGAACATTCAGACCAGAGCGGTTGGAAGAAATTGCTCCGCGATATGGACTTATTACTACTGAAGTACTTGACAATATAGCGTATGCACGAGCGCACAACACAGATCACCAGACGCAGCTGCTCATTGAGGCAGCATCCATGATGTCTGAGAGCAGGCAAGTGGCATTTGTTAGACGTTTTGATTTGGTTGTGGTGCTGTTCATTTTCGGGTATGTAGGGCATTGTTGTGCTGACTATTACGCTGTGTGTTTCGTTGCTGCAGATTTTCTCTGATAATAGTTGACAGCGTCACAGGCCTCTACAGGACGGACTACTCAGGCAGAGGAGAATTGGCAGCACGGCAGATGCATCTAGCTCGATTCCTGAGAACTCTGCAGCGGCTTGCAGATGAGGTAACATTTTCCCCTCTTGTTGCCGCCCTACTCCTGCTGTCAGCCTTCATCATCATTGGAACTCACTGGAATGTCTTTGTGACTGCCAGTTTTCTTGTGCAGTGGTGGTGACCAACCAAGTGGTGGCTTCTGTCGAAGGCAACATGTTTGCTGGCCCTCAAGTGAAGCCCATTGGAGGCAACATTATGGCTCATTCATCCACAACAAGGTACCCTGTCTATCCGAGGGTGTTTTCCCTGGCCGATGCTGTAACTGCACTGACTCCTGGTGTGGTTTCTTGATTTCAGGCTTTACGTGAGAAAGGGAAGGCAAGAGGAGAGAATTTGCAAGATTATTTGCTCACCTTGTCTGCCAGAGGCGGAGGCGAGATACTGCATTGCTGAAGAGGGAATTACCGACTGCAAAGATTGAGGGAGTGTGTTCTGTTTCGTGCTTCAGCATATTTATACGGATGCAGGTGCAATCAAGGTTGCACCTGCGTGTTTGGATAGATGCACATTGTAATGCTATTTTACCCAAATGCATTTGTTCTGGGCCTTTCAACGTTCAAGGTTGTGCAATTCAGCCTTAGCTGGTTGCCAGTAAAAAAACGCAGTCTTTTGCCATTTCCGCACTAACGAAGCTTGCCACGTGTTCGTGAAGATGGAGCCACCACGTGAAGATGTCACATGTGACAAACCTCAAACACGAACCAAAAATGCCAACAACCAGACAAATTTGCTGCTCCCCGAACCTGACTTGGTCCTGAGGAGGTTTGTGCTCGGGGTATATCGAGGCTGATGTGCTGGTTCGTTTTGAAACTTTCGGCTCGGCTCGCGCAAACCTTGCTCGACTGTTATTTTCTGCACAGTGCAGTACTTGCAACTGTACATTATTCCGTCGTTCTTACCTGTGCAGGCACGGCACTGGGAACTACGAGTTTGTTGAGTGCTCTTCTTTTCAGTGGGGTGACTAGTCTAGGATTTTCAGCCGATAAGTGGTGTCTTGGACACTTTAGGGACTAGCAGGCTTGTCCTGCCGCGCGTTAGGTTTTCCGTCAGCTTTAGCTCAAGCCGGCAATGCCTTTTAGTTGAGGGCACTGAAGACTAGGAGTTGCTGAACGCGCCTAGCCGTAGGCATTGTTGTTCGGTCTTATGATGGGCAGCTAGCCTTTGCTGTTGCTGCGGTTGAGTATTCATAGGGACACGATGAAAGGTACAGGTGTTGTCGTTCGGTAGTGTTGTCGCCGTAAGGCACAAACCGTGCGCCCGACTTGGTCTGACGTAGACAGTAATATTTATTTTAGAAGATGCCGAAGCCTCTGCTACGGCACCCATCCAACCCTGTCCCAGACCAATGTCCCCGCGCTCCCCTTCCCGACTCCATACACGAGCTCGCATCGCGCGTCTTCGGTTCCGGAAAGTCCGGGAACAGGAAATTTCTAACCGCGCACAAGGGCACTAGAAATGCCGCGCGGAAAGGCCAGGATGAGGCGGGGACGGCGGGGCAGCGGGTCGTGGCGACGGCGGGGTTCGTGTCAATCGAGGCGGCGTCCGTGATGCAGCAGGCGCTGCGGCTGTGGTCCATGATGAGTCCCGTGGAGATCGAACGGCTCATGACCAGCCTCCAGGTGGGGCCTGTGCTGATTCGCGTAAAATGCGCTAATAAACGAGCACTTTCTGCTACTCCTCGCGTGCTGGAGTTTAGTGTGAAGGTCTCTAGTCGAAACTGCCCTGCTTCGCGTTTCGAGATGTCTCGAAACTGCCATGCGTCGCTGGTGTTAATGCCCCTTTCTTCGCGTGCTCTGCTCCCTTCTCCCATTATTCCCTCGTTCCCTCTCGTGCCTCCCATCCCATTTCCCTCGTCGCGCTTGTCACTATGGCAGGACACGGCCCTCATTCTCTTTGTCTACCACGATCCCGTGCACCTCTGGACACTCGCTGGTACGTGCCTTGGACCTTTGGACGCTCGCTGGTACGTGCCGTGCACCTCTGGACGCTCGCTGGTACGTGCCGTGCACCTCTGGACACTCGCTGGTACGTGTGGGCTAGGCGGGTTGATGCGGTTATAATTGCATCTGATGCGAATGTAATGCTTTCGATGCGGATATGATTGCGTTCCACGCGGTGCGGTGGAGAGTCTGGAGAAGCTGGCGGAGCGGGTGGCGGCGATGGGCAAGAAGTGCGAGGAGACACGTGCATGGAGTAGCGACCCCTGTTACAACCTCCCACTCCCCGGCCTCCCCCCCTCCCCCTCCTCCTCCCCCAGGGCTGGAGCTGATGGAGAGTCTGGAGAAGCTGGCGGAGCGGGTGGCGGCGATGGGGATGAAGTGCGAGGAGACGCGGCTGCACGGGCTGGCGTTCTATTTCAACGAGCTGCGCCACCCCGCCACCCAGTTCCCCGCCTTCCGCCTGCAGCCGGGCGAGCAGGAGAGCCTCATGTGGTGCGCGGGGGGGGAGGGGGGGGTGTGAAAAGGGAATGCTATAGGGGAAGGAAGGGCTAGTGTGGTGGGAGGGGGAGTGAGAAAAGAATAAAATGAGCTTCATGTGGTGGGTGGAGGAGTTTGAGTTGAGAGAGGGGGAGAGAGCTCTGCCTTCCCGTGCCGCCCTCTGCCGTCCTCTGCTTTCCCTGTTCTTCCAACCGCCGGTCTCCCTTCCCCCTATCTCCCTCTCCCCTCACCCTTTCTCACCTCTGCCGTCCAGCTACATGCGGGAGCAGGTGGAGCGAGTGGAGGAGCTGCGGCAGTGCATGGAGCGGATCAACACTGTGCGCTCCAGCATCAAGTGAGTGCTCTTATAACGAGTCATTCCGTGTTGCAGTGCATGTTGCTATGTTCGAATGGGAGATCCTAGGTCTCGCGATTGATTGGTTTCGTTCGAAGGAAATCTAACATTGCATTTGACTGTCCCGAGTCCAGACAGAGCACTCTGCATCATCATTTACCCCAAGTGTTTCTCACAATCATGCTGATTACCCATACATCTCACTGCATGTCGTTCCCTTCCCCTGTCCTCCTCGTCCCACCATCATTGCACACCACATCATGACATGACATGGCGTCTGTCTGTGGGATGACATTCCATGACATTAATGGCACACACATGGCTTGGTACATAAATGGCATGCACACCATGGAATGGCATGACATGGCACGGAAAACGTGGCATGACACACACCATGATGTCATTGCGCATGATGTCATGGTGGCATGACGCACACCATGATGTCATTGCACATGATGTCATGATGGCATGACGCACACCATGATGTCATTGCACATGATGTCATGAATGCATGGCACATGGCGGCATGGCAGGAAGATGCAGGGGCTGGTGTCGCAGTCGTCTGCCTCCTCCAACCTGCTGGCGGAGCTCGAATCCGCCTCAGAGGACTACGAGCTCGACGACAACCACCCCCCCCAGTGCGTCCTCCCATGCATGCATGCCTCTCCTTGCTGCACATGCCTTGCTCTGCCATGCCTTCACCCGCCCCACTCCTCTGCCTCCTCCAACCTGCTGGCGGAGCTCGTATCCGTCTCAGAGGACTACGAACTTGACGACAACGCCCCCCCCCAGTGCGTCCTCCCATGCAACGCACCCACTTGTTGCTGTATACCACTTCGTGCCACATACCACTATGTGCCACACATGCCCTCACCTCACATGTCTGGTCACATGCCAGTCAACCGCATTCCACCCGCATGCCAAGAACAGCATTTCCCCACACCCCTGCCTCCTGCAACCTGTTCCCTGAGCCCAACTCCCAGTTCTTCCGTGCCCCCCTCTCCCCCAGACCCAGTGGTAGCAACAAGGCGAGCAGCAACACAAGAAGCAGCGGCAGCAGCAGCAGTAGCGGCAGTGGCAACAGCTCTTTGCTGCGGGAGATGAGTGACTCGTTTGACGATGCGGTGCTGGGCCAGCTGGGCATGGCTAGGACCAACCTGCCCTGCGACATCCCCGGAGGAGAGGAGATCTTCCGACTGGTTAGTCAGTTGCTGCTGCTTCCTTCTAGCTAGCTTGTTGTGTCCAGAGCGAGTCTAATTGCAGCAAGCCTGTGCTTGGTCTCACTCTTCCGTCTTCCCTGCCCTGCCCCACCCACGTTCCTGCTCCCTTTTCGTCCTCCCTCTTTAACAACTCGGCAAACAGAGCTGCTTGTTGAGTCGACTGAAACCCCTTCCCCCGCTTTCCCACCCCTTTCCCCGCCCTCCTGTTCCTCTCCTCTCTGTTGTCGACCTCTCTCTCGCAGATGACTCGACTCACAGAGCTGCAGGCGAGGACCCTTTGGGCAGTGGAGCTGGACCACGTTGTCAGGGTGGGTGGGACGAGGGGGGGTGTGAGGGTGTAGGTGACAGGGAAATTCATGACGTGGGAAAGCGGTATGATAGGGCTGCAGGCGAGGACCCTCTGGGCAGTGGAGCTGGACCACGTTGTCAGGGTGGGTGGGTGGGGATGAGGGCAAGTGGGAGGAGGGCGGGTGGGCTATGGCGGGTGGGCGGGAGGAGGGTAGGTGTGAGACCATGGTGACAGGGGGAAACGGCTTTGATAGAGCTGCAGGCGAGGACGCTTTGGGCAGTGGAGCTGGACCACGTTGTCAGGGTGGGTGGGACAAGGGCGTATGGGAGGAGGGCGGGTGGGAGGGGGCTGAATGGGAGGAGGGTAGGTGTGATTATAGTGAGAGGGGCGGTTCAAGATAGCTACAGGCGAGGGCCCTCTGGGCAGTGGAGCTGGACCACGTTGTCAGGGTGGGTGGGACAAGGGCGTATGGGAGGAGGGCGGGTGGGAGGGGGCTGAATGGGAGGACGGTAGGTGTGACTGTAGTGACAGGGGCGATCAACAGAGCTGCAGGCGAGGGCCCTCTGGGCAGTGGAGCTGGACCACGTTGTCAGGGTGGGTGGGGTTAGGGTGGGCGACATAGGGTGGGTGGGATCAGGGGTGATTCGGATTAGGGTGGGCGGGATTATCTTGGGAGGGACTTTAGTGTGTCAGTGAAATTTCACAGAGGTGATTGTAACGAAACGTCTCAACCTCCCCCTTCCCTCCCTCACTCCCCCACACACACCATCAGATCCTCGTGCTAACCATCTTCATGATCCGAGACCGTGTGCTCTCTCAGTGTTTGGCATCGACGCCCACTCGGAGTAGAGCACGCAATTCAACCTTTCCTTTCCCCTCCCTCTCCATCCCACCAGATCCTCGTGCTAACCATCTTCATGGTCCGAGACCGTGTGCTCTCTGTCTTCGGCATCGACGCCCACTCCGACGAGAGCCTGTTTGAGAATTCTCTCCCCTTTCTCCCCCAAACCCTTCCCCTTTCCTTCCCCCTCTCCCCCTTTCCTCTCCAGATCCTCGTGCTAACCATCTTCATGGTCCGAGACCGTGTGCTCTCTGTCTTTGGCATCGACGCCCACTCCGACGAGAGCCTGTTTGAGAATTCTCTCCCCTTTCTCCCCCAAACCCTTCCCCTTTCCTTCCCCCTCTCCCCCTTTCCTCTCCAGATCCTCGTGCTAACCATCTTCATGGTCCGAGACCGTGTGCTCTCTGTCTTCGGCATCGACGCCCACTCCGACGAGAGCCTGTTTGAGAATTCTCTCCCCTTTCTCCCCCAAACCCTTCCCCTTTCCTTCCCCCTCTCCCCCTTTCCTCTCCAGATCCTCGTGCTAACCATCTTCATGGTCCGAGACCGTGTGCTCTCTGTCTTCGGCATCGACGCCCACTCCGACGAGAGCCTGTTTGAGAATTCTCTCCCCTTTCTCCCCCAAACCCTTCCCCTTTCCTTCCCCCTCTCCCCCTTTCCTCTCCAGATCCTCGTGCTAACCATCTTCATGGTCCGAGACCGTGTGCTCTCTGTCTTTGGCATCGACGCCCACTCCGACGAGAGCCTGTTTGAGAATTCTCTCCCCTTTCTCCCCCAAACCCTTCCCCTTTCCTTCCCCCTCTCCCCCTTTCCTCTCCAGATCCTCGTGCTAACCATCTTCATGGTCCGAGACCGTGTGCTCTCTGTCTTCGGCATCGACGCCCACTCCGACGAGAGCCTGTTTGAGAATTCTCTCCCCTTTCTCCCCCAAACCCTTCCCCTTTCCTTCCCCCTCTCCCCCTTTCCTCTCCAGATCCTCGTGCTAACCATCTTCATGGTCCGAGACCGTGTGCTCTCTGTCTTCGGCATCGACGCCCACTCCGACGAGAGCCTGTTTGAGAATTCTCTCCCCTTTCTCCCCCAAACCCTTCCCCTTTCCTTCCCCCTCTCCCCCTTTCCTCTCCAGATCCTCGTGCTAACCATCTTCATGATCCGAGACCGTGTGCTCTCTGTCTTCGGCATCGACGCCCACTCCGACGAGAGCCTGTTTGAGAATTCTCTCCCCTTTCTCCCCCAAACCCTTCCCCTTTCCTTCCCCCTCTCCCCCTTTCCTCTCCAGATCCTCGTGCTAACCATCTTCATGGTCCGAGACCGTGTGCTCTCTGTCTTCGGCATCGACGCCCACTCCGACGAGAGCCTGTTTGAGAATTCTCTCCCCTTTCTCCCCCAAACCCTTCCCCTTTCCTTCCCCCTCTCCCCCTTTCCTCTCCAGATCCTCGTGCTAACCATCTTCATGGTCCGAGACCGTGTGCTCTCTGTCTTCGGCATCGACGCCCACTCCGACGAGAGCCTGTTTGAGAATTCTCTCCCCTTTCTCCCCCAAACCCTTCCCCTTTCCTTCCCCCTCTCCCCCTTTCCTCTCCAGATCCTCGTGCTAACCATCTTCATGATCCGAGACCGTGTGCTCTCTGTCTTCGGCATCGACGCCCATTCCGACGAGAGCGTGTCAGAGAACGAGACACTGGGTTCGGCGGGCCTGGCGCTGCGCTATGCGCGCATCATACTGCTCGCAGAGAAGCTCATGAAGTACCCCTTCATGGCTGCTGGCGGCACCACCAGGTATGTGACTATAACGAGGATAGATCCACTAGATGCTTCACAACAGCTCACCACTGTCCTTGTGGGTGGCCTTCAAGTCAATTGAAGAAACTCCCCTCCCCCTCCCTACGGGACCCTACCCCCCTTCCCCCGTCCTTCCCCCCCGCCCACACAGGGACGAGCTGTTTTGCATGCCGACCAACGCCCAACGACGTGCCCACAGTGCTGCCCGTTGGACCGTTGAATGGCCTAGCAAGTATCTTTCCTCTCCTCCCCATCCGTTCCCCCTACCCGCCTCCCCCCTTCAGGGACGAGCTGTTTGGCATGCTGACCAACGACATGCGCACCATACTAGCAGGCCGCCTCGTCCCGGTAATGAAGGAGGAGCAGCAGAAGCGCGAGCAGGAGGAGGAGGCTCGGCGCCGAGCCGGCCTCCCCCGAGCCGCCTCCTCAGACTCGGATGAAGACGAGGACGGGTTCGTGTGGCTCGGGAGCAAGGGGGGAGCAGCGGGAGGAGGGGGCGCAGGAGGGAAGGGAGGAGGGCAGGGAGGGAAGGGAGGGAAGGAAGGAGAAGACGAGGAGGAGGCGGAAGCACCGTGGGAGCGGAAACTCAAGTGGGGGATGGAGTTTCTCCCAACCCTCGCTCGCAACACCATCACCTTTTCCGAGCTCAATTCCATCCGGAAAACCTCTGTCACATCGAGCAACCACGTGTTGCGAGTCCAAACCCTCTTCCACGCGCAAAAGGACGCCGTCAGCGCAACCCTGATCGACTCCTTAGAAGGCCTCTCGCTCCTTGTTGCATCTGATCCGTCCAATACCACGCAGATCCGATCGAAGAAAGCCGCTGCGCTGGCGGCCGCTCGGGCAGAGAAAGCCCAGGCGAAGTCGGGCGAGCCGCGGCAAGTGCTTGTAACGGGGATATTTAAAGCGAAGCGGACGACAAGCTGTAGCCCCACGGACGGGATTGGCAGCTCCCCTCTGCTGCTCTCCCAGTCGTCTCTCTCCTCTTCCCTCCTCTCCTCTTCCTCCTCCTCCGTCGCCCCCTCTGCGTCCCCCTTTAGGTCATCTTCTGCCTCTGCTGCTGTCCTGGCTGCTGCGATGGGGGGAGACGGGAGGGACTCTGCTGCCGCTGCTCTGCGGGCGATAAGAGGAGGAGGAGGAGGGGGAGGAGGGGGAAAAGGAGGGGGAGTTTTGAAAATGCCTTTTGTTAAGGGAGGCAAGCAGGCGGGCGCTAAGGGTGGTGCTGCAGCGCCTGCTGCGAAAGCTGCTGGTGGTGGGGCTGGCACGGGGAAGGTTCCAGGAAAGGTGAAGCCGCTTTGGGAAGAGGATACAGACGAGCAAGACCTCGTGAGATCCGTTCTGTCGACGTGCCAGGAGGAGAGAGATGGGGGCGAGAAGGGAGCAGCGGGGAGAAGAGAGCAGGTGCGGGCGAGAGAGACAGGAGGCAAGATGATGATGCGTGGCGGATCGGAGAAAGAGAGGAAAGGAAAACCTGTGAAACCCTTGTGGGAAGAAGATACAGACGATGAGGATTTAGTGAGGTCTGTGACTCTACCTGTGAGGAAGGACGGGGTTGGGAGCAAGGGAGGGCAGGAGGGGGCTGGGGAGGAGGGAGGGAAGAAGAAAATGCTATGGGAGGAAGATTCCGATGATGAGTCGCTGGTTCGCGCGGTAACCGCATCTGCTACCACCGTCGCTGCAGCTGTTACAGCTGCTGGGGTGGGCGTGGTAACCAGAGGGACTGGGGGGGCTGCAGGTGCTGGTGGGGGTGGGAGAGGTGGTGGAGGAGGGGGAAGAGGTGGTGGAGGGGGGGGAAGAGGTGCTAGTGGTGGGGGTCGAGGGGCTGGCGAAGGGGGGAGAGGGGCAGGTGGGGGGCAGAAGAAGGTGCAGCCTCTGTGGGAGGAAGACTCTGATGATGAGAGTCTGGTTCGTGCTGTCACCGCTGCTTCGTCTGCCCCTGCTGGTGGTAACGTTGGGGGCATTGCTGGTGGCAGTGCTGCTGCGGGCAATGGGGGGGGGTCACGCTCGTCGGTGCAAGCGGTGACGCCGCGAGGAGCTCGCATGCAGCGATTGGACGCGGCGAAATGGGCAGACGAGCGAGGAGCGCGAGGGGATGGGGAGCGGGGAGAGCGGGGAGAGCGGGGGGACGGAAGAGAAGGGCGCGATGGGCAAGGAAGGCGAGACGCTCGCATGCAGCGGTTGGACGCAGCGAAGTGGGCAGAGGGGCGGGAGGAGAGAGACGGGCGAGATGCGAGAGAAGGACGAGAAGGGAAAGCAGGAGGAGGAGGGGGAGGGGGAGCGAGAGGAGGGGGAGGGGTTGGGGGAGGGGGAGGAGCGAAGGGAGAGAGAGGAGGAACGAAGGCTCGGCCGTTGTGGGAGGAGAATGCAGAGGATGAGGACATGGTGAGGGCCGTTGCTGTGCCCACCCTCCGCTCTGCCACCCCCCCTCCTCGCTCTGCCACCCCACCTCCCCGCTCTGCCACCCCCCCTCCTCGCTCTGCCACCCCCCCTCCCCGCTCTGCCACCCCCCCTCCTGTGGTACCGATAGCCTCTGGTCGTGGAGCGGCAGGGAGAGCGGATGCAGGGATGGGAGGGAGGGTGGAGGAGAGGGCAGGTAGGAGGGCGGAGGGGAGAGGTGAGGGGAGGGTGGATGGGAGGGGTGATGGGAGGGTGGATGGGAGGGGTGACGGGAGGGTGGATGGGAGGAGGGAAGAGGGGGCGGTGGAGGGGATGGTGGAGGGGACGAAGGGACGAGCGGAATTCATGCGTCTGGCAGAAGAGGGAGAGGGCTGGGAGGAAGGGGAGGAGGAGTGGGAAGAGGGCGAGGGCTGGGAGGAGGGAGTGGAGGAATGGGAAGGGGAAGAGGGCGAGGAGGAATGGGAGGGGGAAGAGGGAGAGGAGGAGCAATATGAGCCGGTCGTGAAGGCTGGGCAGGCGAGCAGAAAGGAGGGCACAGGCGGGATCAAGCAGCCATTGGCGCAGGATGAATGGCAGAGGCAGCAAGCGGAGCAGGAGGCATGGGAACAAGAGCAACTGGAGCAGGAGAAGTGGGAGCAGGAGCACCCGAATGAGCAGCAGAGGCAGGTGCAGAAGCCAAAGCAGCAAGTGACCTGGGACCAGCATCACTCACAGGAGGACGGCGAGGAGGAATATGAAGGAGAGGAGTATGAAGGAGATGAGGAGGAGTATGCAGAAGAGGAAGAAGAGGAAGAGCCGGTGGTGCCTGTGAGAGCCATGGCCCGAGCAGCCACCGCACCCACATCCCGCCTCGATAAAATGTCCAAGTCAGCGGGTGCGGATGCCGGGGGAAAGAAGAAGAGCGGGAAGAAAACTGCACTGCACCGGGTGGCATCTGAGTCCACCACTTCTGACCTCTATGCACCCAGCCAGAAGGCACGGGCAGCAGGGGGGCTTGCGCCTGGTTTGTATGAGGGGCCTCAGAAGTCGCCTGGTGTGGGGCGGCAGCAGCGGCAGATGCATGTTCATTGGGATGAAAGCGTGTGCCCTGATAGGGGGGAGCGAGGGGAGAGATGGGAGGGAGAAGCAGAGGAGGGGCAGTGGGTGGGTGCGGGTTCGTTGTCTGAAACAGCTGCTTCGGGGAAGGAAGGCAAGAAGGGGAAGGCTGGGAAGAAAGGGTCCCAGCAGGGGAATGCAGAGGGGGAGAAAGGCGAGAGGGCAGCAGGGGAGGGAGGAACAGGAAAGAAGAAGCAAACCGGGGAAGCGAAGAAGGCTGGGAAGAAGGTTGCAAAGAAGGGTGCGGCGCAGCAGGGGGGTGGGGGAGCGGAGGAGGAGGAGGAGGGGCTGGGAAGGACTGTGAGTGCAGCCTCTTCAGCCTCCCGCTCGTCCTCTGGCACGTCATCATCGCCTGCTAAGGGCGAGAGGCGGAAAGCTGGGGAGAAGGAGGGCGGGAAGAAGAGTGGGAAGAAGGCAGGGCAGACCCCCCAGCCGCAGGTGGCAGTGTGGGAGGGGGACGAGGAGGAGGAGGGGCTGTTTAGGGCTGGATCTTCTGATGCTGCTGCTGCTGCTGCTGGGGGGAAGGAGAAGGCAGGTAAGAAGAAGGAGAGAGACGCGAAGAAGAAGCAGCAGGAGCTGCAGGAGCAGCAGGAGCGGCAGCGGCAGCAGGAGTTGCAGGAACAGTTGCAGCGGCAGCTGCAGCAGGAGAAGCGGCAGCGAGAGGAGGAGGAGGCGGAGGAGGAGCGGCAATGGCAGCTGCAGCAGCAGCAGCAGCAGCAGCAGCAGCAGCTGCAGCAGCAGCAGGAACAGGAGAGGCGAATAGCAGCATCAGCCAGTAGGAAGGGTCGAGCAGGGGCTGGGAACACAGACCGGGCCTCTTCTCCTGCCTCTGCTTCCCGCTCATCCCACTCCCCCTCGCCCTCCTCTCGCACTGCCAACACCAGCACTCGCCCTCAGGCAAGCCGCTATGCAGGCTTGCAAGACAGGTACGAGGAAGAGGAGGAAGAGGAGGAAGAGGAGGAGGAGGAGGAGGAGGAGGACGAGGACGAGGAGGAAGAAGAGTATGAAGAGGAGGTGGAGAGTGAGAGGTACAGAGGGCGGATGGAGGAAGGGAGTATAGATTTCGATGCCTCTCACCAGGAACTCGCCTTTGGGGCGGGTCAAGGGCGGCAGGAGCAGAGAGGAGTGGTAGGGGGAGGCAGTTTGGACTTTGATGCTCCCCAACACGAGCTACCCTCTCCCTCTCAAATGCCGTCCGGAGGGCTGTTTGCAGCGCGGCAGCAGCAGTGGCAGCAGCAGCAGCAGCGTCAGCAGCAACAACAACAGCCACAGCAGCAGCAACCGCAGCAACAACAACAGCAACACCAGCAGCAGCAGAAGCAGAAGCAACAGCAGCAGGCAGCAGCGCCGGCATCACGAAATCAGTACTACGACGATGATGATGAGGATGATGAATATGCAGGTAACGCACACGATCAGTATGGTGGTGTTGCCGGTGCCAGGGACAACAGCAGGGGCGACGGCAGGGGCGGATGGGACCAGGAATACGGATACGAGGAGGAGGAGGAGGTGTTGAAGGGAGAGGATGAGGAGGAGTGGGACGAGGAGGCCGAAGAGGAACTGTATAACCAAGGAGCAGGCAGAGAAGCAACGGGAGCAGGTGGTGCCATTACGTCTCTATCGCCCTCTGCTGCTGCCTTCTACCTTGCCACAACCTCCTCCTTTGGACACGAAGACCCTGTTGACTCCTCCTCGCCAGACACCTCCTCTGGCTTCCCCCCTCCAAAACCATCCCCCCGGCAAGCTCCTCGCTCACCCTCTGCTTACGCCTCACCTCCCTCTTCCTCTCCAACCGACGCTGCTCCTGCTGCTGCTGGTGCTGCTGCTGGTGCTGGAGCAGGGAAGAAGGAACGGTCAAAGTCGCCCTTAGCTCGGCTAAAGCGCTCCCTCTCCCCTCTCTCTCGCAGGCACGCCTCCCCTGGTAAATCAGGATCAGCAGGTAATAGCACTGCTGCAGCAGCAGCTGCTGCAGTGGCTGCGGCTGGTGGCAGCAGCATGGGTTCTTTCTCTGAGCTGCAATCTCAGCCGAGCCTGTCGTCAGGCTCGATCAGCAGCTCGCCGAGCCAGTCCATGGATCGGCAGTCCCCGAGCCTGTTGTTGCTGGATCGGGTCTCCCCAAGCAACTCAATGGAGAGAAGGAACCCGCAGGAGCGGGGTGGTTTGGATCGGGACCGAGGGTCAATGGAACGAAATTCCATGGAGAGGCGATTGTTTGATCGCCACTCCTCCTCTCCTTCCCATGACCGAATCTGGTCTCCCCGTCACTCCTCTGGGATGGGTCAACAGCAGCAGCAGGCGGAGGGGTCGGCCTCGCCTGACCTCTCTGCTTCTCCTGACGTTCACGCAGACGGTAGGTCTATTGGAAGGGAGGGTGGCTCGAGTTTCCGATCCTCCCTTGCTGCCGTGCTGATGTCGCCTCCGATCCTGCGCGGCAGCGCCGGGGGCAGCGCCTTCCCTACCTCCAACTCAGCCTCGGAAGCCTCGTCCCGGCACCCGCACAAGAGCGGGAAAGTCCTCCCGAACCTGCTCCGGCTGAACCTGAAAAAGGACAAGGGAGAGGGACATAGGGAGGGGAGAGAGGGGCGGGATAATCAACCCGGCACCCCACCCTCCCCACTGCTAGAGCATGTGCTGAAAGGCTATCCCATGGGTAACTATGATGGAATCCCAAGGGGTTTGTCCGAAGATTCATCTGTTCAAAGGTATGTGAGAGGCGGTGAGGGGAGTGAGGGCAGCAGCAGTGGGCGGCTGAGTGGTGAGGATCCGAAAGAGTGGGAGGAGGGCAGGAGGGGATCCGATGCGAGGGGGAGTCACAGGGAAAGGGCTGACTTTTCTGGGGATGCTATTCGCAAAACGAGCTCGTATGAGAGGGGTGGGGCAAGGAGTGAGGAATCAGGGGTGGGTGCCACTGCCAGGGGTGGGATTCGATCTCCGATCCTCAAGCCAGCTTCGACTGAAGAGGAGGCGTTTTTTGAGCGGGCAAGGCAGGAGGAGGAGCGACTAGCACGAGAGAGGGGGGGCAGTGGTGGTGGTGGTAGTGGAGGGGGAGGGGGGGAAGCAGGGGTGGGTAACGATTCTTGGTCGCGGGACGAAGACACAGCGGCACCGGCTTTAAGCCCTCTAAAATATGCACCGAGTGCCTTCAGTAGGAGGATCAGAGGGAGAGGCAGGGGAGGAATTGGGGGGAGAGGAGCGCCCCCTCTTTCTCCTGTTGGTTCAGCTGCTGCTGGTGCTGGCGCTGTTGGTGGGGCTGGTTTAGCAGCCAACATCAGCAGTGCCAGCAGCACCAGCACCGGCATGAGCAGCAGTGGCACTGACACCAGCGGAAGCAGCAGCAGCAGCAGCAGTATAGGCATAGGCAGCAGCGGCAGCAACAGCAGCAGTGTTAGCGCTGCCGGGGGTGAGATGGCTGGGGGGTACGGGGATGGGAATGCGGGAGGGATGGGAGGAGCGGGGGCGGGTGGTGGGGTGGGGAGAGGAGGGTTCGGCGGGGGGCGTGGTAGGATGAACAGCAGGAGGCGTAGCATTGTGAATGCGAGGCTCCATGCCCAGAGGGAGGGGGGCGGGGCGGGAGGGAATGGGGAGGGAGGGGACGGGGAGGGTGAGAAGCCTGAGTTCGAGTTTCAGGGTATGGGGGGGAGAAGAGCAGTGAGGAAAGTAGCTCCTCCGATTGCGGAGGGGGAGGAAGGGGGGAGGAAGGGGGAGGAGAGCGAGGAGGAAGAGGACGAGGAGGGCGTGTGGCAGAGAAACGACCCAATCCAAGCGTTTTGAGACAGAATGGTGCAGTGTAGACGTCTTGAGGTAATGACACATCCGAAATTAATTATATCAAGCTGCAAAAGAAATGTGTTTTGCCGAGGAGATGGAGTGATTGGCATGGCAGAGTTCGCGATTCGGTATTGAATTTGCATCGGTCCTGAGCGACGCTGAAACGCATATTGGCGGTGGATGAATGTTGGTAGATTGGTGTGAGGAAGCCGGGGAGTGCTGGTGTGGTTGGGATTTTTAGGAAGGGCAACTGAGTTGGAGAATTCCTTCCTGGCAGCTCAGTCATAGAGTCCCTGCCAGGGACCATTTGTAAAGCTGTTCCCTTATTGAGATCCCCTTTTGTCATACCGTATAGCCTGGTTCTACCCTTCAAACATGCAACAAAAGGGTAGTACACGCATGTTATTTTTTACATTGGCTTGCAACTCAAGTCTCACCCAATTCCCAAGGTTTCCCGTCACACGAGTCAAACCATTTCCAAAGGGCGACAGGCATATCCTTCTCGGTTCAGGATACCGATGCTAACACATTGACCGGTTCATGCTGTATCAAGTATGAAGTTTGAGAACAATCATCAGCACCATGCTCGAGATTCTCATTTTCAAGTTTCAGCCATTCCGCGACTATCCCAGGTTTGCTGATCAGCAGAGTGTCGGTATTTCCAAGGCCGAGCTGCGATTGCGATTCGCAGGCACGGGTCGCTGCTTGCCACGTGGGAAGTCCAAGGGGTTTCCCGTTGGAATATTGTGTTTCTCTACTCGGTGATCGCACCTACCCCTTTCGCTGCTGCCACGTCAGCGCTGAAAATGGCGACAATGACGTCAGCCCACAGAGGCCTTACAGCGCTTCCTGCTGCGCAAAGCGCGGGTGCTGGTGAAGTCTCTCGTCGTCCACGTGTCGTCTCAGCCGCATTCGGCGGTGCAAAGGAGATTAAGTCGACCTCGTCGAGTCTGGTAGGACGGCCGCTTTCAGTGGCTGTTTCCCGCGCTAGCAGCGGCCACAGACGAGGCGGTGCGTTGGCGACAACGTGCTCGTCGCAGAGCGTTTCGGAGAAGTTCGCAGAGCTTCGCGCGAAGAATGAAGTGAGTAGACAGTTTCGCAGTTTGACGAGGGTTTCGGGTATAGTCACCTCGCTTTACCAAAGCGGTCAGTTTGACTACCTCAATTGCAACTGGCTGTTTCGATATAGGGTGGAATTTATTTCTTTTCGCCATTCCACTTGGTGCCATCTATCTACGTCTTGGACGCAGCGCGCTTTGAGCTTTTAACTCCGTTCCTTTCGACTTGACCCTCTCCCAATCAACCCACCCGTTCCTCAACTCCTCCCACCTTCCTGTCCATTTTTCTCTTCCCCGTTATAGTCGCTGGGAACCCCGCTATAAGCACCACGTAACGCATTGGTCGCACGAGCCCCTCAGCCCGCATTTGCTGCTGTTCACCCGCTCCCCCGCAGGTGGCGCTGATCCCCTTTATAGTCGCGGGGGACCCCGACCTGGCCACCACGGAGCGCATTGGTCGTACCATCCCCTCAGCCCGCACTTGCACTGAGTTGTTTCACAACAACATCTTCTTGTGCTGTCCACCCGCTCCCCCGCAGGTGGCGCTGATCCCCTTTATAGTTGCGGGGGACCCCGATCTGGGCACCACGGAGCGCATTGGTCGTACCATCCCCTCAGCCCGCACTTGCACTGAGTTGTTTCACAACAACATCTTCTTGTGCTGTCCACCCGCTCCCCCGCAGGTGGCGCTGATCCCCTTTATAGTGGCGGGGGACCCCGACCTGGCCACCACGGAGCGCGCGCTGAAGCTGCTGTGCGAAACGGGCGCTGACGTCATCGAGCTGGGCGTGCCTTACTCGGACCCGCTCGCTGACGGACCCGTTATCCAGGTACACCCCATCCCCGTTATTAGCAGCTCGACTGGTAACTGCAACGTGACATGAGTGTATTAGTATAGATTTCGAGCTGGCCTAATGCATCTCCTGCTCTTGCAAGAAGGGAACCCCAACAGAACTGTAATTGTTTTGTGTGCGGTGATAGTATTAGTGTGATTAGAATGAAATGGCGACCTTCCGAGTGTGATTATACTTGTGTGTTTGATTGTTTGTTTGTGTATCGCAGGCATCTGCCACCCGAGCCCTGGCGAACCACACAGACCTGCAGTCGGTCATCGACCTCCTCAAACGGGTACGCTGTCCTGCTCTCCCCTTTTTTTTAGTTTTGAGGCACCTCAAAACGCGAACCACACGGATCTGCAGTCGGTCATCGACCTCCTCAAACGGGTATGCCTGCCTGCCTGCCTGCCTGTCTGCCTGTCTGCGTGCCACCCCCCTCTCGCCTCCCCGCCCTTCGAACTTGACCTACTGCAACCGTGTGATGAAACGCCCTGCCAGCAAGTCCATAGGGAATATCAAAGCCGCCCCTCCCTCCCTTTCCCCCCATGCGTCCCCCTCACCATCCTCCCTCCCCGCACTTCTCACCACCAGGTCACCCCCTCCCTGACGGCGCCCATAGTTCTCTTCACCTACAACAACCCCATCATGAAGCGACGCTCCAACCAAGCTCACACCCCCTGCTTCCTGCCCCGTCCCTACAGGTTACCCCCTCCCTGTCGGCGCCCATAGTCCTCTTCACCTACTACAACCCCATCATGAAGCGCGGCGTCAACAAGTTCATGGGGGAGATTAAAGCCGCTGGGGCGGCGGGCATAGTGATGCCGGACGTGCCTTTGGAGGAGACCAAGGTGCTGCGGGAGGTTGCCACAGCCAACGGGCTCGAACTGGTGAGCATCTGGTGGTTGGTGGTGGCATGTAGGAGTGTTGAGGCGTCTGGGAGCTCGCGTATGGTACTGGTGTAGCAGCTGTCATGACGCACGTGCCCCTGGAGGAGACCAAGGTGCTGCGAGAGGTCGCTACCGCCAATGGCCTCGAGCTGGTGAGCATTCGATTGCTGGTGATCGCCTTGCAATGACATGTTCAGTTGACTCAGAGGGAGCAAAGAGTTGGAGATGAACTAGCGGCAGGCATAGTGGTGGTGCCGGACGTGCCACTGGAGGAAACCAAGGTGCTGCGAGAGGTTGCCACCGCCAATGGACTCGAACTGGTGAGCAACCGATTGCTGGTGATTGGCTTGCAATGACATGTTCAGTTGACTAAAATGAAACAGAGAGTTGGAGATGAAGCAGTGGCAGGCACTGCTAACGGCATTCCCCTCTCACTCCCTCTCCCCCCTCTTCCTCCCCCCTTCTCTCCCCTCTCCCCCCTCTTCCTCCCCCCTTCTCTCCCCTCTCCCCCCTCTTCCTCCCCCCTTCTCTCCCCTCTCCCCCCTCTTCCTCCCCCTTTCTCTCCCCTCTCCCCCCTCTTCCTCCCCCCTTCTCTCCCCTCTCCCCCCTCTTCCTCCCCCCTTCTCTCCCCTCTCCCCACAGGTTCTGCTAACAACGCCCACCACCCCCACCGAGAGAATGGGAGCCATTGCTGACGTCACCCAGGGCTTCCTCTACCTTGTAAGCCGCCGCCTTGCTGCCGCGCCTTCTTTCTCCTCCGCCCCTTCTCCTCCGCCCCTTCTCCTCCGCCCCTTCTCTTCTGCCCCTCCTCCTCTGCCCCTCCTCCTCTGCCCCTCTTCCTCTGCCCCTCCTCCTCTGCCCCTCCTCCTCTGCCCCTCCTCCTCTGCCCCTCTTCCTCTGCCCCTCCTCCTCTGCCCCTCCTCCTCTGCCCCTCCTCCTCTGCCCCTCTTCCTCTGCCCCTCCTCCTCTGCCCCTCTTCCTCTGCCCCTCCTCCTCTGGCCCTTCTCCCCTCCCTGATTTTTCTTCTCTCCTCAACGTCTCCCTCGCCCCCTCGCTCCCGCGTGTGATGTGATTCCTGTCTGGTTCCTCCCTCCCCCCTGATCCAATCTCCTAGTATCCTCCAACATTGATTTTTTAGGCGCCTCAAAACCGCGAGTCATGACACGAAATCTTAGACGCCTCAAATATGATGCCTTTCTGGTTCCTCCCTCCTCCCTGATCTAATCTCCTAGTATCCTCCAGCATTGCGTAGACAGCAGACACCCCGTTTAATTTCCATTGTCATTGTATCTGTGCATGTGTACATTCGTGACTGTGTTTATGCGTGTTCATGCGTGACTGTATCGCAGGTGAGTCTAACAGGAGTGACAGGCGAGCGGCAGGCAGTGCAGGGGCGGGTGGAGCAGCTTCTAAAAGACATCAAGGCATCCACAGACAAGCCCGTCGCCGTTGGATTTGGCATCTCTGCACCTGAGCATGCTAAGCAGGTGCGTGTGGTGTGGGTGTGCGTATGTGTATGTGGTGAATGGATGAATGGTTGAGTCGATTCATAAGGCAGTGCAGGGGCGGGTGGAGCAGCTACGAAAAGCCATCAAGGCATCCACAGACAAGCCCGTCGCCGTTGGCTTTGGCATCTCTGCCCCTGAGCATGCCGAGCAGGTGCGTCTGACACATAGATAAGTAATTGGATTTGACTCAGCAGTCAGTGCAGGGGCGGGTGCGGCGGCTTCCAAGCGACATCAAGGCCACCACAGACAAGCCAGTCGCTGTGGGCTTTGTGAAAGGAGGGTATTTGTGAGACGTCTCAAAAATACCCTCCTTTCACATCGAGGCCACCACAGCCAGTCGCTGTGGGCTTTGGCATATCTGCCCCTGAGCATGCAGAACAGGTGTGTGTGTGTGTGTGTGTGTGTGCGGGTAATAGTAATGTCTGCGCTGGTGAAGCTGCCGGTGGGAAGTGAGACGAAGGGGGAGGGAGGAAGAAAAGGCGCTCTTTCACTCATTCTTTCCTTGTTTTCCTTTCTATATCTCACCCCTCCTCCCAACCAGGTGGTGTCATGGGGAGCAGACGGAGTGATCGTGGGGTCAGCGCTGGTGAAGCTGCTGGGGGGCAGTGACACAGCAGAGGAGGGGCTGGCAAAGGTCGGTGCTCTCATGCGGTCGCTCAAAGCAGCAACAGCCCGCAACCTGCAGACGGCTTAAAGCTCTCCTCCTTGAAGCTGCTGGGGGCCAGTGAGACGACAGAGGAGGGAGGGGCTGGCGAAAGTAGGTGCTCTCATCTCATGCAGTCGCTGAAAGCAGCAGCGACCCGCAATCTGCAGACGGCATAGACGCTCCTCCTGATGGATGTTGTAGGGACTTAAGAAAACAAACTCTCATCTCATGCTGTCGATCCAAAGCAGCAGCGGCCCGCAACCTGCAGACGGCATAGACACTCCTTCCTGATGCTCGCATTAGTTGTTCAACATCTAGAAGTCATGACGTCACTCAAAACACCTCAAAGCAGGTCACTACAAATAGATGATGGTTACTAGCTGCAGACTGCGCAAATGAAGCACCTGAGCCGTTTTTGTTTAGGGATGTGTCAATCGGTTGTTATGAGTATTTCAGTTGTCCAAATGTTGATACATATTGCAAGTGCAACAACCTACCGTATTGCTTTTCACCATAGTTCGTGTCGCGACCCCTTGCTGATATTGCTCATCACTGCAGCTCAACTAGGAGCTTTGATTTATTCATTGTGCCATGCACCAAGCCCGTCACATCTCCGCTGGGACGTTTGATTAATAAGCACTAATCTCTAACAGGCAGAGATATCAAGCCCGCCTGTCTTCCCTGGCGGATGAGCTTGGCTACGTGCATTTTCCTCTTGTAGCTGCGCGGCTCTGACCCCTTCATTAGGTGATACTCGCAGATCAAAGCTGCTGGCTCAAGCAATCCCTGTTGGGGTGAAAAGGGAAGGGAAGATAGAAACGTGGAGCCGAATTGCATTGGAACAGATGTGACACTGCGCGCCTCTGACCCCTTCATTAGGTGATACTCGCAGATCAGCGCTGCTGGCTCTAGCAATCCCTGCAGGCGTGGGAAGGGAAGATGGAAACATGGAGCCCGAACCACATCCAACATGGTATGTGTGGTGGTAGGTGTAATATAATGCGCAAGGGCTTAGGGATACTTACCAATGACTGATGTACTTACCAAATATTACACTGCGAGCCATAGGCGGCATGGGTATTTACTGGTGGTTAATGCGAATTCTATGTGAACAGAAAAAAAAAGGGCACTTACCGTGTACTTATTTGTGTGCATAACAGAAGCGTTTAAATCCACTCCCCCCCGGAAGGGAATGGCAGAGTAATGCTCTGCCATGGCTTGCACCTGGTGGGGTGGGGGAATGAGAGGGAGAGCAAGGAGGGGATGCGAGGAAGAAGAGGATTGGAGGAGAATTAGAGGAAAGGGAATGGCAGAGTAATGCTCTGCCATGGCTTGCACCTGGTGGGGTGGGGGGTCAAGAAGGCAAAGGGAGAAGGAGGGAGGAGACAAAAGGTAGCACAGCGGACAACATGGCTTGCAGGAAAGGGTACCAAGATGCAATGCACCCCATGAAGTGCCCACCTGCCAAAACAAGTGCCTACCTGTCGAGGATCGAACATCGCTTGCCGCATCCCTGCTTCCCCGAGGCACATGTTGGGATATCCTGAAAACAACGGCTCCGATGGCCCCTCCGTCACGGACCTGTGAAACGTCTCAAATGGTGCCCACCTGTCGAGGGTCAAACATCACACGCCGCATGCCTGCTTTACCAAGGCACATGTTGGGGTCCCCTGAGAACAACGGCTCTGATGGCCCTTCCCTTACAGACCCTTGAGACGTCTCAAAAGGTCACTTCTGAGACTTCTAAAAAACGAATCCCTCACCTGTCGAGGATCGAACATCACACGCCGCATGCCTGCTTTACCAAGGCACATGTTGGGGTCCCCTGAGAACAACGGCTCTGATGGCCCTTCCCTTACAGACCCTTGAGACGTCTCAAAAGGTCACTTCTGAGACTTCTAAAAAACGAATCCCTCACCTGTCGAGGATCGAACATCACACGCCGCATGCCTGCTTTACCAAGGCACATGTTGGGGTCCCCTGAGAACAACGGCTCTGATGGCCCTTCCCTTACAGACCCTTGAGACGTCTCAAAAGGTCACTTCTGAGACTTCTAAAAAACGAATCCCTCACCTGTCGAGGATCGAACATCACACGCCGCATGCCTGCTTTACCAAGGCACATGTTGGGGTCCCCTGAGAACAACGGCTCTGATGGCCCTTCCCTTACAGACCCTTGAGACGTCTCAAAAGGTCACTTCTGAGACTTCTAAAAAACGAATCCCTCACCTGTCGAGGATCGAACATCACACGCCGCATGCCTGCTTTACCAAGGCACATGTTGGGGTCCCCTGAGAACAACGGCTCTGATGGCCCTTCCCTTACAGACCCTTGAGACGTCTCAAAAGGTCACTTCTGAGACTTCTAAAAAACGAATCCCTCACCTGTCGAGGATCGAACATCACACGCCGCATGCCTGCTTTACCAAGGCACATGTTGGGGTCCCCTGAGAACAACGGCTCTGATGGCCCTTCCCTTACAGACCCTTGAGACGTCTCAAAAGGTCACTTCTGAGACTTCTAAAAAACGAATCCCTCACCTGGCGAGGGTCAAACATCACACGCCGCATGCCTGCTTCACCAAGGCACATGTTGGGATCTCCTGAGAACAACGGCTCTGATGGCCCCTCCGTTACAGTCACACTCGCGTTTGCACCACCTGCTGCTGCTGCTGCTGGGTCAGATAGCTGGCTGGTTGTGGCGTTGCCAGTGGTGTTGGCAGAGGTTGCATTTAAATCAAGAGGAGGAGGAGGGGGAGGAGGAGGTGTGGTGATGATTGTGGGGGTGATGGTGGGGGTGATGGCGGCGCCGTTGGGATGGCATGTGGGGTGCACTGATCGGAACACCATGCGCTGCTGTAGCCAGTGGTCGGGCGCTGCGGTTAAGAAAGAGGGGAAGGAGGGAGAACAAAGAGCAGAGGCAGAAGAGGGCTGTGAGGCAGGTGCTGTTGGGACGGCATGTGGGGTGCACTGATCTAAACACCATGCGCTGCTGTAGCCAGTGGTCGGGCGCTGCGGTTAAGAAAGAGGGTAGGGAGGGAGAAACAAAGAGTAGAGGCAGGAGAGGGCTGTGAGGACCCAATTGTGGCGGAGAGGGAGGAAAGGGACAGACCCACACTGTGTGACTCACAGCCACCCACCCACCTGCGACTCTCTCACACCCACCAACCAACATGCGTCTACCTCTAACCCTCTGGGACTGACAGAATACCTGTGATGGGCAGGCAGAGCTCGATGTGCCAGGAGTAGGATCCCATGGACAGCCAGGGGCGGCCGGCATGGTAGGCGAGGAGGGTGGAGAGGCGGAAGGGGCCGACGACGTGAGGCAGCTCGTCAAAGGCGAGCGAGATGACCCACTCGGAGGTGAATCGCGTGCGGTACAGACAGTCGTTCATTGTGATGACATTGTGTCGTGCTGGCAAACTGGAGGAAGAAAGGGGTGGGGAAGAAAGGGAGGTGAGGGCCGTTGAGGGATCTTGAGAGGCGTTGAGGCGAGATGACCCACTCGGAGGTGAATCGTGTGCGGTAGAGACAGTCGTTCATTGTTATCACATTGTGACGCGCTGGTAAACTGGAGGAAGAAAGCGTGGGGAGAAGGGGTGGGGAAGAAAGGAAGACGGGGGGGGGGGGGGGGGGGGAAGGGGGGGGGGTGAATCGCGTGCGGTAGAGACAGTCGTTCATTGTGATCACATTGTGACGCGCTGGTAAACTGGGGGACAAAAGGGAGATGGGGGCCATTGAGGGACGATGAAAGGCGTTGAGGTGAGATGACCCACTCGGAGGTGAAGCGCGTTTGGTAGAGACAGTCAATCAGCGTTACGGCATTGTGTCGCGCATAGCCGATCCCTAAAACTAACCAGAGTCAACCAAAGTCAATGTCTCAAACTTACTCTGATAGCCCTCGCAGGTCCACCACCTGCAGCATGTCCGCGTCTGTGAATCTCGATACGGCCTTAGGCAATTCCACAACCCAAGACAACCCAAGACAACCCAAGTCAACCAAAGTCAACCGCATTCAACACCCCATACTCTGATAGCCCTCGCAGGTCCACCACCTGCAGCATGTCCGCTTCTGTGAACCTCGCCACGGCATCCGACAGGGGATAGGCGAACCCAATAAAGCAAGGTCAACCCAAGTAAACCAAAGTCAGTTAAAGTCAAACACATGCAGCTGACTCACTCTGCTAGCCCCCGCAGGTCCACGACCTGCAGCATGTCCGCGTCTGTGAACCTCGCCACGGCATCCCGCAGGCGATTCGAGAACCCCCCTCCATCATAGAAGATGAAATCATCTGCTCCGAAGAACAGCAGATACTGCATGTGCTCTAGCACTCGCGCTGGGGTGTGCTGTGAGGGGGTGGAGTGGGGGCAAGTGAATTACAGGGCGAGGGTGGAGCGCCAGAGAGGGAACGAGAGTTGGAGTTTTGAAGATGAAATCGTCTGCCCCGGAGAACAGCAGATACTGCATGTGCTCTAGCACTCGCGCTGGGGTGTGCTGTGAGGGGGTGGAGTGGGGGCAAGTGAATTACAGGGCGAGGGTTGAGCGCCAGAAAGGGAACGAGAGTTGGAGTTTTGAAGATGAAATCGTCTGCCCCGAAGAACAGCAGGTGCTGCATGTGCTCTAGCACTCGCGCTGGGGTGTACTGTTGTGAAGGAGATGCGGTGCGGGGGGGCAGGAGGGGCGAGAGTGAGAGAGTTGGAGCGTGTAAAGGAATCGCCTGTCTCGAAGAGCAGCAGGTACTGCATGTGCTGGAGGACTTGCATCTTTTGAGGCGCCTCAAAAGCAGGTACTGCATGTGCTGGAGGACTTGCATCTTTTGAGGCGCCTCAAAAGCAGGTACTGCATGTGCTGGAGGACTTGCGCTGACTCGCTGAGGTGAACTGTGACAGAGGTGGGTGGGGCATGAGGGTTGAACGTGAGGGCAAGACCGTGTATGTGACTAGGAGTATGAATTCGTCTGCTCCAAACAATAGCAAGTACTGCATGTGCTCGAGCGCTCGCGCTGGGGTGTACTGTGAGAGGGGTGAGTGAGGTGGAGGGTGGGGTTGGAGGTAGAGGATGAGCGAGCAGATGACAGAAAGAGGGTGTGCAAAAGATAGCGCGGTTGATGTTCTCACCTAGTGGTCTATGAGCAGCGAGCAGAGCAGAATCTGGGGGATGAGCAACGAAGAACAGCAGTGGTGCCTGGTGGATGAGCAACTCAAGGAACAATCTATTATCCAGGCACTCCCCTCACCTCGCGGTCAATGAGCAGCGAGCAGAAGGAGATGTGGTGTGGCAACGGCCGCGGCGGGTTGAGAATCCGCTTGGCAGCAGCAGCCCCCTCCGCCTCCAAATTCCCTTCCCCCACGGCAGCAGCAGCAGCAAGAGAGGAAGGGGTTCTGAGGTCGTCTTCTCGGTATACCAGCATATCTCTTCCTGAGATGTGGTAGAAGAGAGCACCGCCTGCAGGTAAGGAGAGGGGAGAGGAGACACGTAACATTATGAGCTGCCCTCTAGCCCATTTACGAGCTATCCTGCTCTCGGTACACCAGCATGTCTCTCCCTGATATGTGGTAGAAGAGAGCACCGCCTGCAGGTGCGGGAAGGGAGAGGAGACACGGAGCGAGCATGCTTGTGCCGGCCCTCTTAGGCTCTCTCTTCTCCTCTCGGTCGGTACACAAGTATGTCTCTCCCTTATATGTGGTAGAAGAGAGCACCGCCTGCAGGTGCGGGAAGCATGTGAGGTGAGACGAGGGGCAAGACCAACATACATGTCAGCTAACCCCCCCTCGGTACTCAAGCATGTCTCTCCCTGATATGTGGTAGAAGAGAGCACCGCCTGCAGGTGGTAGGAGTGGAGAGGGGAGAAGAGACGGGTCAAGCAGCTCATGTAACCAAATTCCAGCAAGGCTGGGCAATCCTCTCATAAGGCTTTGCTGACATGGTCGCTACCACACCAGAGGTACTCACCAGGGTCGGCTGGGGTGGGCTTGTCGAGGTTGCAGCGGATGACAATGGTCTCATAGGGCATGCTGGCATGACAAGGGTTATTCACCAGAGTGACTCACAACACATCACTCTCACCAGGGTCAGCTGGGGTGCGCTTATCGAGGTTGCAGCGGATGACAATCGTCTCATCATGCTGGCATAAGTTATTCGCAAGAGTGACTCACAGGAGACCAGAGTGACTCACAAGAGGTACTCACCAGGGTCAGCTGGGGTGCGTTTATCGAGGTTGCAGCGGATGACAATGGTCTCATAGGGCATGCCCCCATGGTCGCCCGGAAACAGATACTCCAAGCTGCCCTTGATGGTGTGCGGCCCCTCATACGACACCCACACGCACCCCCCGCTCACTTCCTCCTCCCCTCCTCCCTGCTCCGAGGACGATTGTGGACCGTTGGATTGGGGTGCGCGCCACTGGGAGCGCATCCCGCGGGGTGAAAGGCCGATGACGGCGAAGTCGAGAGGGCTGACGCGGTGGGCTGAGATGAAGACAAACGTGTTGACTCCGTGGGGGGTGAATCGACCTGGCGTTGGGTTGGGAGGGCAGGGGAGGCATTGTCAGCGCATCCCACGGGGTGAGAGGCCGATGACGGCGAAGTCGAGAGGGCTGACGCGGTGTGCTGAGACGAAGACGAAGGTGTTCACGCTGTGCGGGGTGAACCGACCTGGAGTAGCAGGGGGAGAGGACGAGAAGGTTGAAAATCTCTCAAGAATGGATGAAACGAGGGAAGCTCACTCCCGAGGGAGGGGTTGAAACGGACTGGCATGGGAAGCAAGAAGGAAGAAAATGGAAGAAGGGAGATTGACTCTCGGGGGGGATTGAGGCGACCAGGAATTGAAAGGCGGGAGTACGAGAAAGGTGAAACTGATGCATTAAGCTGAGCTGTATTCTTGGCGCATCTGAACTATATTTAAGGTAACATGGGAATGGGAGATGATCATGCGGTGAGCAGGGGAGAGGAGCGAAGGTATTTGGGAAGGGAGGGCAGAAAGGAAGGGAGGGGGAGGGGAGTCACCTACCCCATTCCGGATTGGACGGCCGATATGGTAACTTCATGAGGTTCTGACACGTGTCAGTCATGAAAGTCCTGTTCACGTTTCTGATCGAGACGGACTTATAGTAGACGTTATAATGTAAGAACGGAGCCAGCCATCCAAAGCACCATCTCAGTAGTATCACCCCTAATACAGTCAACAGAATGTAACGAAACAAGGTTCGCCCGTCCTTGGATCCTCCCCACTGCATCGCACGGCTGAGAGCCAACCGAAAGGACCGAATCGACGGTCGTCGGAGGAGCTTGACGTACACGTCCATGACAAGGGAAGGGACTCTTTCGACCCTTCCCCGACCCTTCCCAGAGCGGGACCTCGCTTTCGGAGCCAGCGCATCGACTTTCTTAACAGACTAAGTGACTTTTACTTATTCCCGGAGTTAGCTTTACAACAACCCTAATTGGCGTGAATCCGCAAAAAACTTCTCCTTGACGGCCTACGGAAAGAGCGGTGGTATCCGCTCAAAGCCGAAGCGAGCTCGAGCTGCTTTTTCAGTCACTGCGCGACTTGCTGTAGCGACGTCATCTGTGGGTGGCTATATGGCACAAATGCGATGACTATGCGGGGAGAGAAATGCGGGCCTGTCCGTGGAGGCGAGTAAGGAGAAGAGAGAATGCAGCTCCTAAATTCACGAACACGTTGCTTGCTTGTGAATGCCTTCGGCTAACTCATGGAGGGTCTCGCCTGAGTCATGAAAGCAGAGCAGAATGGGTGGAACAGAATCGGAGTGGGGAACTCGAAGAATGAGAGTGAAATTGGTGACCACGGATCGTTCAATGCGGTTCACTACTCGTTTCACTCGGTAGACAGCGGTTACCATGTTTCCTCAGTAAACATTTGCAATAGAGGGTTGGTAGGTGAACATGGCCAATAATGCGGAAGGAGATAAGCTGTCCACAGAGGCTTGTAGATTGCCGCGAGAGATTCGCTACCGAAGCATAAGATTCATCTGTATGCGAAAGAGACCGCGAAAAAACGAATTCAGGCGAGCTCGGAGATTGGAATTTGTCCTCGTGACGCTTCCCCTCTGCCTTTCGACCAGCATGGTAACGAAGACCGTTCGTCTGGTAACATCTCGTTGAGGATGTCGTGAATCTGTGGGTCTGAAATTCGATAACTTGGCAACACTGCACCTCGAAAATTCGCTGAACTCCACCTCGAGAACTCCCGCACGCTGCACCCTTGGGAACTCCGCCTCCACCCCACCCCCAGCCCAGGTTCCAGATTGGCATGCGTGATTGTTGTGAAGAGTGGATTTCGCATCCCATTTGTGCATCTTTATCATCCGTCCATACAGGAACAGGTGAATCTGGTCCGTCTGTCAGGTATCCGTTAGTGACGATTACGAAAGGGTCTCTGCTGCAGCAGCAGGTGGTAAGAGATAGGGCACTACCTGTTCCATCAAAACGATCGTCAGTTCCTTACGCCTCGGAACTCACTTTGCCAGGCTGGATTCATTGATGTCTGTCATGGCTGTCACAGCTGTGATGCCTGTCGAGGCTGGACAGCCTCATCCAATACTACTGATACCCCAACCAGCCAATCATGGCGAAGACAAGTGTGCGAAGACGCCGTTACCGGCATCACTTGACTTTCCCACCTGACGGCTACGCGGATTTCTCCTCGAAGATTCCGTCACGAGTGACGCCATGTGACGTGTCAGGTTTACTGAACGACACATGCTCATTACTCGCTGTCACTGTGCGACCCGTGCGATTCATGCGCGCTGGAAATCGAGACGTCGCTCGCTTGTTACTGTCGCGGGACTGCAAACAGTAACTAGGAACACATCTAGCCGTCGTGGTTGTCTTGCTGAACCGTATTCGGTCGCAGGAACGCGTCAGCCATTGCCTTCCTTTCCTCTTGAGCCGCGACTAGCCGTGCGGCAAGATTGTTGAATGTACGAAACTGCTCTTCAGGCATATCCATGAACACTTTCTTGAGCTTAGCACGCCTGATTCTAGGTGCTCGACTTTTCATTCTTCTCCTTCGCAACAAAAGTCCCTGCTGCTGAGATTCAAAAACCCGCCACACTGGTGTCGTCCTCCCAACCTCTTCGTTTTGCTTGACTTGGGATGCGCAACCTGCAGTTTATCACACTGAAAAGGGTCAAACTAGGGTCAAATGAGGCCAATGACGTCATTCATGCTTCACCTGCCTGTCCTAGCCTGCTGCGTTCTAGGAGCACTCTCCGTACTGGTCTCGTCCCAAGAGATTTCTGAAAATTCACATAACAGCCTGATCACCTCCTCGCTGATTCAAACGTCCTCTACGGGCACAACTAGTAGCAGCGATGCATCCCTCACCCCTCTCCGCCACTCCTCCCGCTCCCTGCTTCAGCTGCGCCACTGTGCCGCCCAGGCCTGTCCGCCCTACCTCTGCTGCTCCTCCTCCTTCGGCTGTGGCCTCGGCTCCGCCTGCCTCACTGACTGCCTCTCCGGCCCCTGCGAAACTGCTGGTAACACGGTTACCAGTAACAGCGTCACTGGTAACAGTGCTGCTGGTACTGGTAACACTGTCGATGATGCCACTGCTGATGGTAGTACCACTGGTGGTGGTGGTAACCCTAGGGGGCCTCGGTTACAACCCCCTGTGTGCTGCACCGCTGCTGCCTGCGACATCGCTCCTATTATGTGTGGTTCTGGGTGCATCTCAGGCCCCTGCTTCCCCCGGGACTATGTTCGCAGCCGAGTGGCAGAACCTCGGAACCGGAGAAACAGCAGCAGTAATAGAGGAATAGGGGCTGGTTCTAGTGGCAGTGAGCGCAACAGCGGCATGGGTAACGGTACCAGCAATAGCAGCAGCGGCAGTAACAGCAGTAGCAATTTTGCAAGCAGCAATGTTACAGGTGGCAATAATGTTACAGGTAGTATCAACGTTACAAGCGGTGGCAATTTAAGCACTGGTAGCAGCAATGGCAGCAGAAACGAGGCCAGCAGCAGCACCAACAACGACACTGACAACAGCAGAAGCAGTGACAATGACAGTGACAGCAGTGGCAGCAGCGTTGGTGCAGTGTCGGTGGGTGTGCTGGCCATTGTGGTTGTTGGCAGCGTCTTCTCTTCTCTCTTCCTACTTCTAGCCGTCTTCCTCTGCCTGCGGCATCAGCAGAAGCAGAGAGAGAGGAGGGAGCACAACGAGGAGGAGAGACAGAGAGGGTCAAGCACAAGAGAAAGGGGACGGTTCTGGCAGAAGCCGAGTCAGCGCTGGTGGCATTGGGCTAGAAACAGGACAATTCATGCCGACCCCGAGTCCGCCTCTCAGCAGCACAACAATCACGCCAGCAGAAACAAGCTCTCACTGACCCTGGCCTCTTCTCCCTCCGATGCACCTCGCCACTTCACCTTTGCGCAGCTGAGCAGGGCTACAGATGGGTTTTCTCTGGAGAATAAGATAGGAGAGGGGGCGTTTGGGACAGTCTACCGGGCACTTGCCATTCCTGTTGCTGACTCATTAGGTGCCACGTCAGGAAGCAGGAGAGGAAGGAATGCAGCGGCTTCCGGGAAGGGGATGGAAGATGGGCAGCGGATTCAGGAGTTGTGGGCGGTGAAGAGGGCAAAGAGAGGGAGCATGGGACCAGGAGGGGCGTTCGAGCGAGAGGTGAGCACTAGGGTTTGCCATATCTCACATCACTGTGTTTCAGTTTGAAGCAGCGTTTCACTCTTGGTCACGTGACTATTTCCCAGAAAGCACGCAGCAGCGCAGTGTTTGTAGGAGTGATACTTTTCCAATTCGGTTCTATGTTCTTTCATGTGGTTCCATGCGGTTTCTCCCCACCAGGTGCGGACCATCTGGCGTTTGAACCACCGCAGTCTGGTGTCGCTCATCGGATGGTGTGCGGAGCAAGGGGAGCAGCTGCTGGTATATGAGTTTATCTCTAATGGCAACCTTTACGAAGCTCTGCACGGTACGTGTGGTGTGTGCTTTTGCGTCGACTCAAAAGTCAACCAAGGGGAGCAGCTGCTGGTGTACGAGTTTGTGCCCAACGGCAACCTCTATGAAGCTCTGCAATGTGCGTGTGGTGTGAGATTTGTACGTCTGGTGTGGGCTCGGGGGGGGAGGGAGTGCGTTCGATGGGGATGGCAGAGCATGAACGTGGTGCTGTGCAGAGCGAGAGGAGCATTTTTTAGGCGCGTCGAAGGTATTTTTGAGGCGCGTCAGGCATTTTTTAGGTGCGTCAACCGAGCATGACCGTGGTGCTGTGCAGAGCGAGAGGAGCGGCTGGTGTATGCGTTTGTGCCCCAACGACAACCTGTATGAGGCGGTGCATGGTGCGTGCGGGCTTGGAGGTGAAGTAAGTGGTGCGATGAGTATGGCAGTGAGATTGCTGTGATGTGCGATTGGTATGTATAGGTGTGAGCGAGTGAGCAGACCCATTGGACCTCCCAGGTTCTGAAGCTCTACACTCCTCTTCGTTCCATCCCTCCCGCCCACGCAGACCTCTCCCGCCCCCCACTCTCCTTTCTCCAGCGTGTGCATATAGCCTTGGGTGTTGCACGTGCGCTGCACTACATACACGAGCAGGTCAGCTTGTGTAGAGCGAGCATGTCAGCTTACCTTGTTTCCTTCTCAGTCGAATCGATATCACCACAGTGTTGCCCGTGCAGCACTGCATTGCATACACCAGCAAGTCAGCTTGTGCTTATTCCTTTTGAGTTGACTCGAATTTCGCCTCGTTACCTATGCCCTGCCCCTCTCCTCCTTTGCAGGCACGGGATCGCATGCTCCACAGAGATGTCAAGTCGCTCAACATACTGCTCACAGCAGAGCTGCAGGTTAGACACAGCCGAGCTGCAGGTTAGACACAGCCGAGCTGCAGGTGAGAGACAGCAGAGGCATAGATAGCACCGAGCAGAGCTACTGGTCTTGAGACGTCTCAAAACCTCCTGCTCCACAGAGACGTCAAGTCGCTCGACATACTTCTCACAGCAGAGCTGCAGGTACTACACTATATTTACACTAACAATACAACCTAACGAATTATCAGCCAGTTGATAGTTTGAAGAACCGATGCATTTCTGATAAAGTGCAAGAGGGGGGTCAATCCTGTGTGCATCTTTCCTTCTCCTCCCTTTCCTTTTCTCATTCACTCCATCTGCCCCACTCCCTCCCATCAGCCCAAGCTGTCTGACTTTGGCCTCTCCCGCATGTTGGAAGGAGGAGAAGCGAACTTCTTCACGCACGGGCTGTCAGGCACAAGAGGCTACCTGGAGTTATTTTCCCCCATATTCTCCCTTGGCCCCTTGTCCCTCTGCCCCCCTGCTTCCCTTGCCCCGCTTGTCCCTCCTTCCTGCCCCCAGCCCAAGCTGTTTGATTTCGGCCTATCCCGCATGTTGGAAGGAGGGGAAGCCAGCTTCTTCACCCACGGGCTCTCAGGCACGAGGGGCTACCTGGACCCTGAGTTCATCACCACACACCGCGCCTCCACCAAGACAGACGTGTACAGGTAAGCTGCCACTCTTGTCGTTTGTTGGGATCATCTGGCCCTAGCTCCATTTCCAGGCCTATCGCTGTCAGGCACGAGGGGCTACCTGGACCCTGAGTTCATCACCACACACCGCGCCTCCACCAAGACAGACGTGTACAGGTAAGCTGCCACTCTTGTCGTTTGTTGGGATCATCTGGCCCTAGCTCCATTTCCAGGCCTATCGCTGTCAGGCACGAGGGGCTACCTGGACCCTGAGTTCATCACCACACACCGCGCCTCCACCAAGACCGATGTGACAGGTCAGCTGCGCCTCTTGTCGTGCATATAGCCATGTATAGGATAGCTGCTTGTTGTGCTTCTAGAGGTCAAGACAAGGGGCTATCTGGACCCTGAGTTCATCACCACACACCGCACCTCCACCAAGACCGATGTGTACAAGTCAGCTTCCCATGTCCTCCCTACCTTTCCCCTTTCCAGCTTCGGAGTGGTTCTTCTAGATCTCCTCACACCCCAGCGTCCCTTGCTCGTCAACTTGCTAGTGACCCACTGTAACCCCTTGCTGTGTCCTCTCTCCCCTTTCCCTACTCTCGTTCTCCTCTCCTCTCCCCATCAGCTTCGGTGTGGTTCTCCTGGAGCTGCTCACAGGCCGGCACCCCTTGCTCTACTTCTCTCCCCATGCTCCGTCTGCCCCCTTTTCCTACTCCCTTCTCTCCCCTCCCCACCAGCTTCGGTGTGGTTCTCCTAGAGCTGCTCACGGGTCAGCGCCCCTTGCTTTACATTTCACCCCCCGCCCTTGCTCCCGTGCCGCGGCCACCTCACGCTTCTGTAGGAGCATTAGCAGGACAAGCAGCAGTATCAGCAGCAGCACTAGCAAAGGCACCAGCAGCAGTGGACTCTGTAGCAGTAGAAGCAGCAATGCCACGAGAAGCAGCAAAAGCAGACAGAGCAGAAACCACAGAACATTGCAGCGTGGAATGCACTACCCAGGGCACTGCAAACCAGCGCACTGACGCAGAGCCACCCGGCTTACCATCAGGAGAGGACCTATCAGCAATAGCCGCTGCCCATACCACCGCCACACCTTCGTGCAGAACAAGCTCTGCTGGAGTTCTCACCACCGCTCTCCCCTGCAACAACATTTCTGCAGCACCACATATCACCTGGCCTCAAGAAACAGGCGAAGCAGTCTCAGAAATCGTACCGGCTACGGACCAAATCTTTCAAATCCCGGTGGAAGCACGTGCAGGGGCAGCTTCCACGAAATTTCTTCTTGAAGATCCTTCTCTGGGTGCTTCCAGTAACCATTCCTTCGGTGTTACCACTCTTGCTGACTGGGCTCGCCGCATGCTCTCCCACGGCCACCTGGAAGATATTGTCGATCCCCGCATGCCACGTCAGCTGCCCAGTTTTCCACCTCAGCTGGCTGAGTTCGCTGACGTGGTAGTGTCATGCACGGACCCGATTGGTTACCGCAGGCCTGGTATGGGATCTGTGTGCTCGCGTTTGGAGGCCATTCTTCACTCACTCACTCCCGCACCCACCATGCCTCACCATCCCCCTTATCAGCTCACTTCTGTATCAGCCACGGCACCATCTTCTGGTGTTACATCTACAGTTGCAGCTTCTTCTGCTGGCGAATGTACACGTTTTGGGCCATACAGCACAGGTACCCAGATAGGTCAGGGCAGCGGCAGCAGCAGCAGTGGCAGTGTTGCTTATGTGGGTCCCAGTGCACATGGCGCATTCCAGGGTCTAGATGTGAACCATGGGATCGGAGGTAATATGGGCAGCGGTTATACACACAGTAGCAGCCAGGGCAGCAGCAGCAGCTGTGGAAGCAGTATAGGAAGCACAGCACCATTGAAACCGTACAAGTGATTATATTAATCTTTAGGTTCATTGCTACACAGTGAGCATTGCCCCTGCACTCCGTCTATGCTCGTGTTTGTTTTGTGGCCCCAAAGTTTGTAGGAATGAGCAAGGCTCTTTGTAACCTTTGTACCGTATCCCCAACTTCAGTTGTCCCACTGAGCTTATTCTGACTTACATCAAAAGTTCCATACGGATTTCTAACAAGACAACAAAAATGTAACAAGGCGTCACCATGTAAACAATGGGAGGAAAGGTGGGGGAGAAGGTGAATTCCCCCCTACGAGGTGTACCGCATGGTACCCTTCTCAAAGCCGATTGTGGGGAACTGCTTGGCAAACTCCTCAACGTTATGCTTCAACCCTGCAATCGCCTCCTTGATCTTGTCGTTTGTGTCCACGGTGGTTCGGAAGTCCTTCAGCTTAGGCCCTGCAAATGGCAACAATTCCGAAAAGTGGTGTCAGGATCACTTTCAGCGGGTGTACCAGAAGTTGAATGAAAAAGCAGAGCGCTTACGTGACGAAAACATTCTGCTTGGCATTGACCATGCAAACCACAGAAAACAGATTCGCATGTCATGGCATGGGGTGGCGTGGCATGGCATGGCATGACACAGCATGGCATGACACAGCATGGCATAATGTGGCATGGCATCGCATCGTATCACCCCTCATGGCATGGTGTGGCATGGCATGTCGTGGTGAGGGGTGGCATGGCGTGGCATGGCATGGCATAACTCTGCATCGCATGGCATGGTATGGCATGGCATGGTATGGCATGGCATGGCATGTACCTGAGAGGGCCTTGGCCTCCACAGCGATCTTGACAGCCTGATCGAAGAAATCAGCAACCTTCTCAAAGTCCTCCTCTGTGAACCCTCGTGAGGTGAGCGCAGGTGTGCCTGTAATGGGAGAGCGGGGAACAGAATGGCATGAACGAGAGATACATAGCATCATTGGAACGAAAGGTAGAATAACACCCTCTCATCTCAGATTCCTCCTCCAAGTATCCCCGTAAGATGAGGGTAGATGTTACGAAGAGCAGAGAAATGGGTTGGGGCCAGGGGCCTCCGCTGCAGGTCGCGCATCATACTTAGATTAAGTGGCATCACTTACCCATTCGCACGCCGCCAGGCACCATGGCGGAGACATCGCCCGGCACTGTGTTCTTATTGGCTGCGATGTGAGCCAGCTCCATCACCCGCTCCACTCGCGACCCGTCCACTCCCTGGACACGTGCAGCAGGGGAGGGAAGGGGCGGAATTTATGGAGCTATGGTAAATGGACCAGAGCTGGAAAAGTGTGAAAGTGGGGATTCAAAACTGCTTTGCTCTCTTCAGTCATATAAATCGTAACTCCTCTCTCTACATACCTTGCTCTTGAGGTTCACAAGAACCAGGTGGTTGTCTGTGCCGCCTGATACCAGCTCGTACCCACGATCTTGCAGGGCCTGAGGGGCCAACGGGGAAAAAGGGCGGACACGAGAGTCAGAGCCAGGACACTTGCTGATGATGCGTGTGCATGCCAGGGGGGTATGAGGGTGTGTGCGACTTTAGTGGTTAACAAAGGAACGATTGAATCTATGCAGCTGCGAATGTGCTTGTTTGTGCGTGTGAGGGGGTGTGAGGGCATGTGCGCATGTGTATACCAGCATTGCGAAGAAAATGAGACAGAGGGGTTGGGGATGGAAGCAGAAGCGGGGGCTGGGCAGGGGGGGTGGGGAGGGTCGTTATGACAGGGTGGGAGAATAGAAGCAAACAATTGTGCAGGAAATTTAGACAGAAAGGTGGGTGTGGAGTGGGTACCTTGGCGAAGCGAGCGCTGTTGGACATGACCTGCTGCTGGTACCGCTTGAACTCCTCTGAGGCCGCCTGTTGCCATGCAAGGGACAGGGAAGAGGGAGGAAGGGTAGCATCATTAGAACCGAGCTCTGAGTTGCCACAAAGCTTGAGCGCTGTTAGCCATGACCTGCTGCTGGTACCGCTTGAACTCCTCTGAGGTTGCCTGTTGTCGTGTGAGAGCGGGGGGAGAGGGAGGAAGAAACATCAGCAGCAGTCTCACACCCCGCCATAGCACTGCCTCACACGCACACTCTGTTCGCAGGCACCCTTGCCAGTTACTGTGGGAGGCACGTGGAAGTATTGAGGCCTGCGGCAGTGCCAGCGATGGTGTAACTGGGTGCTTTGTGGTTGGTTGTGCTGCCTTGCAATTACCACCAGAGGCGTGCCTGGTTGAGCGTAAGGCAAGGCCGGTAGTGGTATCGTGGTCTGGTGTAGTTGCATTGCCTCGCGATTACCAGCAAGAACGCACCTGTTTGAGCGCCACGGCAAGGCCAGTGATGGTGTGGTTGTGGGGGCCGCCCTGGTGGCCTGGGAACACAGCGAAGTTGATCTTGTCCTCCAAGTCGTACATGATCTGAGACGGATGTGACACAAATGAGGGTGGCGCAAGAAAAAAGGTTGCGCATGAGTGTCCAGGACACATCAACCCGCCCTAGTGGACTGGGAACACCACAAAACTGATATTGCCTTACTTGTGCTTGGGAATGGGAAGGTTGGAACTCTCTCTGAGAGTGCAGGAATGAGAGGACACCGGAGGGAGTAAATAAGCATGTACTCTTGCGCCCCTAAAGCAAATGAGATTCTTCAATTTCGTACGTCATGTTGCAGAACGAGGCGCTTTGTACTTTTAATTCAACTCAAATGTCACCCTCTTACGTAGAATTTTCTCCAACACCAGCATCTTCCCTCTCACTTGATCCCTCCCTGCTCCGCCTCCCCGCCGCCCCCCTACATTTGTGATTCCAAATCTGCCACATGCAACGCTTATACTCGTCTTTAGCTCACCTCCTTGCCGTTCTTGTCGGTCTCCTTGACTCCCTTGCGGTAGAAGATCATGGCGCCACGTGGCCCTCGGAGGGACTTGTGAGTGGTGGTGGTGACCACGTCAGCATAATCGAAGGGCGACGGCACCACTCCCGCTGCCACGAGGCCACTGATGTGTGCCATGTCAGCAAGGAGAATCGCGCGCTGCTGGTCGGCGACCTGGAAAAGCGGAATCCGGGAAATCGGGAAGTGAGAGGAAGATCAGGGAGGTAAGCACGAAGGGTATTGGTATTTTTTCTACTCCGCGACTATAGCTAATCACTTGTTTTCTCCTTCGCTAAAACTTTGATTCTCGTATCCTTATCTTCACGGCCCTCTCTCTTATCTTGCGCATGCGCGGGTAGTCGTAGCTGCACGAGTACGCGCTGGCGCCTTTTGAGTCGACTCAAAGTCTTCACACTCGCGCGAGTAAAAGCTGTCTATCTTAGTCGACCCACTCTCACTCACCTTGCGCATGCGCGGGTAGTCGTAGTGGCGCGAGTACGCGCTGGCGCCCGCCACAATGAGCTTCGGGCGGAACAGCTTCGCGGTCTTCTCCATCTGCGGGGGCAGCCACGAGGGCGAGGAGACGAATCCGAGGCCACAGGGGAGACGGAAGATGAGTTACAAAGGAAACCAAGCATAGGAGGAACAGAATCGCCTGAAAAATCAAATGCAAATGAGTCAAAGCAGCGGGCGAGTGGACGAAGGGCTGCTCTCACAGGAGAAAACGAGCAGCGAGCTCGCGCGGAGGAACTGCACTGCAGGACGAAGGCAAGCCTTGCCGCTAACCGCCTACTCTTCAAACGCCTAGCAAACGGGCAGCGCTTACCGTGTCGTAGTCAATGATGCCGGTGGTCTCGTCGAGGCGGTAGGGCATGGTTTCGAAGTAGATGGAGACGGCGGAGATCTTCTTGGTGTCCGTCTGGTAGCCGTGCGACAGGTGGCCGCCGTGCGGCAGGTCCAGAGCCATGATGCGCTCGTGCGGCTTCAGCAGCGCCGTGTACACTTGGAAGTTGGCGGGCGACCCGGACAGCGACTGCACGTTCACTGGAAAAAAAGGAGAAAAAGAGAAGTTTTTTTTTTTTTTTACGCTAAGTTGAGTGTAATGTGAAGAAATGGCAGGCACTGGGAGGAATTGCTGCTCTGTCACGGGCACATAAACAACGCCATGATCGTAAACGTCTAACAGAGTGATGCGTGGAACAGAGGCTTACCTCCCCACTTGGCCGGATCCAGCCGGAATGCCTCCAGAGCGCGCTTCTGGCAGAGAGTCTCGGCCATGTCAATGAATCTGCGAGGAAACAGGGAAACAGGGAAACAGAGAAACAGAGAAATAGACGGTGAAACAGGGATGGGAAAAGGCGAAGCGATGCGCTATACGCATGTGATGCAAGAATCGCTGAGAATCCAGTACCGCAGGGCCCTGATCGACGAAAGATGGGAAAGGGCCGACTCAATGGTACACTAAGAGCTTCATGTGGAGTGTGAAGTAAAGACTCACTCGTTGCCGCCATAGTAGCGAGCGCCGGGATAGCCTTCGCTGTACTTGTTGGTCATGACGGACCCCACGGCCTCCATCACCGACTGGGACGTGAAGTTCTCCGAAGGAATCAGCTCCAGGCCCTGACCGACGGGACGAACAAAGAACAAGCAATTTGTGAGAATAAAACTATTGTGCTCTCTCCCTGTCCCTGTTGATCAGGCCGAGCGACTTCCGTCGAGGATTGAAGAAAGATCGGTTCAGAAAAGTTTGGGCTGTGCGGGGTTGGACGTGCGAGGGGCGACGGACCTTCCATTGGCGGTTCTTTTCGTGCTCGATGATGTCGTAAATTTCGGGGTCAATGTCTTTCAGAGGCGTGTTGAGCACAGCGGGCCACTGCGACCAGCGAAGAGAATCCAGGCAAGAGAAAAAGAGCATCTTCGTCACGTCCAGCAACAGCAGGGAGCAGAGATTCAGCAAGCTTTCAAATATCGACACAGCAATAATGGCCGATGAAATTTTATGAATTCGTGAGAATTCAAAATAACCAACGGGGCGGATTGGTTATAATTTGTTGCTTTCACGCAGAAGACCATACTGGTAAGGTGGTACTTACAGAGACGTCTGAGCGGCCCTTGGACTTCTCAATCCAGGCATAGGCTTCGTCATTGGTAGCCTGGAACAGGGGGAAAACGGTAATAATAAGTAGCGGTATTCGTTAAAATGGTCACAAGTCCGGAGAGCGACTGCAACGAAATTGGATTGCTCAGAAAAAAAT